ATGAGTAAATTGGTGGACGTCCTGACCCTCCTTGCCTGTACCAAACCTCCCACTCAAAAAAAAAAAAAAGGCCAATGCCATTACACATTACACGCCGTTACTCAATCCTGTTCACCAGCACCTTTTATCGTGTCTATCTTTATATCTCTGCCTCTTTCAACGTCTAGGCATCCTTATCTCCCCCTTACCTCTCCCAGCCCCCGTGGTGTTTGATATTTTCCACACAAACATTTTACCAGAGGGCTCCGGCCGTGCATCTTGAGCTTAGGAGAAGATAACTCTAGAATACAACCTCTTACCTCCAGCCCACGACTATCTCATTGGCCTAGCACCGATCTCTCAAATATTCATTTATTACTGCACTCTTCCGGACTATTTTTAAACATCTTTTTTTTTTTTAACCTCCCCCTTTCTGCGTTGTCTCCCTCCCCCTCCCACCTGTTTATCACAACAGCTCAACGAGCAGGAATGTTGATCGCCGGCCAACTGATTTCCTCACTTCTAGAATACCGAGAACGGTAGACCGTGTGGCGGTTCAATCTTGAAGACTGTTGGAAATCGTTAAAACTCTGGCAACCACTTCTAAAAATACTGATACCGCCTCGTTTGTTTTTGTCTCGATTCTTTGTAAAACTTTCTTTCTCTGCCGATTTGACGCACAATTTTATATTTCTTTTCGTTTTTTTTCACAAAGTATAGATTTTAGAAATGGCTGATCAAAACATAAATAACCTCTTATCAGAAGACTTGTGTCTAGCTGGACAACACACTTGTTTATGGTGAGGTAAAATAGATCCTGTTTTGTTTGACTAATACTAATATAAAGATGGAGAAAACACTGGGTGGGGGTGGGGGGTGCTACTTACTCAACATAACTTAATTTCGATTGCGGTGATAAAAAGACGCTCACTTTCTTCCAATTTTTAAAACTTAATCTTAAAGGTTGGGGGGGGGGTGTCACGGTGTCCTACATAAAGGACGTCACCCAATGGGTTGGCGAGGGGACACAATTGAGACGATGTAATATGAGGGTGTCCTAATAAACAAATTTTTCAAAAAATTGTGACCATAGCCGATGAGTGCAGGGGTAAAAATTAGACCAATGTGAGGTATTGTCATTTATGGGTGACAAACACGCGCCCCCCCCCCCCCCCCCGAACAAGAACTGTTAGAAAGTGAGTGTCTTATGAAGGATATGAGTCTTTGATATCTGCCAACAGTGTCTGGATAACATGTCCCCGTGATGTGTGTGAAGTAACTTATCCATAATGTTAGGCGAATTTCGCATGTACTTGGATAACCTATACAACTTTAAATTTAGGACAAATTAAACACATACTTACAAACTATACAAACAAAAACGTATCCTAAACATACACACGCCACAAACATACCCACGTCAGAACACACCTCACAAACTTTCACACCACACAAAATACATCTACACAAACACAAAAAAAACCTTGCAAACACCACTTGCATACTTATTGTGCATACATACAACACACACACAAAATAAAAATATAATATATATTATATATATAATATAAAAACACTCAATATAATCACATACACTCCTCGCACTCACTCAACACACTCCGATACACAAAAAATCAGTACACACATAACACATACAATACGCAGGCTATTGCTAATAACACAACTACAAATTTTATGCATCACGCACATCACACATACACGACACTTGCACAACACACATACATGACACACTTTCACAACACACACACACATGACATACTTGCACAACACACACACAAACATGACACACTTGCACAACACACACACATGACACACTTGCACAACACACACACATGACACACTTGCACAACACACTTTTATGACACACTTAAACAACACACAAACGTGACACACTTCCACAACACACATTTATGACACACTTCCACAACACACATTTATGACACACTTAAACAACACACATACATGACAAACTGGGACAACACACACACATGACACGCTTGCGTAACACACATTCATGACACACTTAAACAACACACAAACATGACACACTTGCATAACACACACATGACACATTTGTACAACACACACATGACATACTTGCACAACACACATACATGACACACTTGCACAACACACATACATGACACACTTGCAAAATGCACATACATGACACACTTGCACAATACACATACATGACACACACAACAGAGAGTAAACTCTCAAACCAGTCAACTCTTTGTGGGCTGCAAGTCATTACTTCTATTAAATAAGGAGATATAACTTATATATATATATATATATATACAGTGCTTCATTGTGTGATAACAAGTAGCTGGTCACATTTATTTTGATCGACCCGGGTTGGGGGGTGGGGGGTATGCGCAAAAAAATTCGAGGTTAGTGCTTCATTGTGTGATAACAAGTAGCTGGTCACTTTTATTTTGATCGACCCGGGTTGGGGGGTGGGGGGTATGCGCAAAAAAATTCGAGGTTACTGAAGGATCTGGAACGAAAGTTCGGGGAGGGGTCGCTGGAGGAACCCCAGAAAATGTTTGATTAATTCAAAGTAGTGAGATGCATTTCTGCGCATACCTGAGTTTAGGTTCTCATCTTCTCTACCTAATCTTTAAGCAACAGAAGACATGCTAGTAGAAATTTAGTTTCCTTTGATCTGGATGTGATGATATACCAATCTTTTATTTTAGGTCAAAAAGTACTCATATTATTTTATAATTTGCATTGAAGACTTGAGATTACTGATTTGATTTTTTTTTTTTTTAAATCGCTTCCCCCTCAGCACGAAACAGCGGCAGGATCAAGAGAAACACACTCCATGGTTGTGGCTTTGGAGGTTCACAAACATGCAGATCTTTATTCTCATGGCCTTGAAATATTATTATATATATATATTTATATACATACTCATACACACATAATTCTTTAATTTCAAATGTGGGTTTATTCCACAAATGAAAATAAGGGCAAATTGAATCATGAACGAGGCTTATTTTTTTTCTGATACATTTTGCGGGCCAAAATATTTATCATGTAGGGCCGCATGCAAAATTTTCCAATTAACAATTTTACTCATCTTTTGAAACTCTTCAATGCCAGAGGGAGCTTCCACTCACCTAGACTGTGTGGTGGGCAGTGTGTCGACATCGGACGTCAGTTGGTCAAAGGGAGGCAAGCCCATCCAAGAAGGGGAGGGAATAACACTGAAATTTCAAAGGGACACAAGCAGTCTCATATTTTCGGAAGCCAAAGTCTCCGACTCTGGCAAGTACACAGTGACCGTCTCCAGCTGCGGTGTCACATCGTCTGCCAGCGTTGAGCTCGTTGTTGTTGAAGGTAAGGCGTCCTATCAGTCAGCCGGTGGAGGAATTATTTTGTGTTGGAACCTGTATGGGAAACAGTGGCATCGCGAGAAGGGGTGGGGTGGGGGAGAGGTGCTGGGGTGTCACATCGTCTGGCATTCTGCCAGCGTTGAGCCTGTTGCGGTTTGAAGGTCATTTGTAATATTAGTCCATCATATGAATTTTTTTTTAAAGTTTTTGAAGTCTGAGCAAAGTTTTAAAGATATAAAACATATGTGGCATCAGTTTCAATCCAATTGTCATAAACCCTAGTTACTGCACCACTTTAGTAATAATTTTCATTTTTAGGAGAATGGAAGAAAGGCATTTTAGATTTAATATGAATGGCAGCACAAAAATAAAGGAGGGATCGGGGGTAGGGAAAGTCAGGTGGGATAGTCTTACCATTACCATTTTAAAAATGTGTGTTAAATTTAAGATATAAATGATTGCAATGGGCACAATCAGTTCTTGAAATGCCAGCGTGTCTGTCTGTATCCACAGAGATTGTAGAGACAGACACTTCAACAGATAAAACATACGACGACATCACAGAATCTGGATCGGATACAGCCACAGAGGACGTTGGCACATTTATACTCAAGCCTGGTGGGGATTCAGAGGACCAAGCAGCAGAAGTAATAAATACTGAAAGAAACTCCAAAGAAGAGGAGCAGGTAGGAGCTAAAGAAGAAGAAGAAAGAATCAAAGAGGAACTAAAAGCTAAAGAAGAAGAAGACAGAATCAAAGAGGAACTCAAAGCTAAAGAAGAAGAAAGAATCAAAGCTGAACTAAAAGCTAAAGAAGAAGAAGAAAGAATCAAAGCTGAACTAAAAGCTAAAGACGAAGAAAGAGACAAAGCTGAACTAAAAGCTAAAGAAGAAGAAGAAGAAAGAATCAAAGCTGAACTAAAAGCTAAAGAAGAAGAAGAAAGAATAAAAGCTGAACTAAAAGCTAAAGAAGAAGAAGAAAGAATAAAAGCTGAACTAAAAGCTAAAGAAGAAGAAGAAGAAAGAATCAAAGCTGAACTAAAAGCTAAAGAAGAAGAAAGAATCAAAGCTGAACTAAAAGCTAAAGAAGAAGAAGAAAGAATAAAAGCTGAACTAAAAGCTAAAGAAGAAGAAGAAGAAAGAATCAAAGCTGAACTAAAAGCTAAAGAAGAAGAAGAAGAAAGAATCAAAGCTGAACTAAAAGCTAAAGAAGAAGAAAGAAACAAAGCTGAACTAAAAGCTAAAGAAGAAGAAGAAGAAAGAATCAAAGCTGAACTAAAAGCTAAAGAAGAAGAAAGAATCAAAGCTGAACTAAAAGCTAAAGAAGAAGAAGAAAGAATCAAAGCTGAACTAAAAGCTAAAGAAGAAGAAGAAAGAATCAAAGCTGAAGAAGAAGAAAGAATCAAAGCTGAACTTAAAGCTAAAGAAGAAGAAAGAATCACAGCTGAACTAAAAGCTAAAGAAGAAGAAGAAGAAAGAATCAAAGCTGAACTAAAAGCTAAAGAAGAAGACAGAATCAAAGAGGAACTAAAAGCTAAAGAAGAAGAAGAAAGAATCAAAGCTGAACTAAAAGCTAAAGAAGAAGTAAGAATCAAAGCTGAACTAAAAGCTAAAGAAGAAGAAGAAAGAATCAAAGGTGAACTAAAAGCTAAAGAAGAAGAAGAAAGAATCAAAGCTGAACTAAAAGCTAAAGAAGAAGAAGAAAGAATCAAAGCTGAACTAAAAGCTAAAGAAGAAGAAGAAAGAATCAAAGCTGAACTAAAAGCTAAAGAAGAAGAAGAAAGAATCAAAGCGGAACTAAAAGCCAACGAAGAAGAAGGCAGAATCAAAGCTGAATTAGAATATAAAAATTCAACCAAAGAAGATCTTGAATCATTCAAACTCAGTTTTGAATCTTCACTTACTGACACTTCACTATACCAAGAACAAACTTCTCAGTCATTGCTAGAAGCAGTTGCCACATCATCCCATCTTGACTCTCTATCAACCACATCAGAAACAAGTCCTGGATTGAAAACTGTTATTGAAAGCTCTTCCACAACTTCTCAAAGCTTTGAGATCACCTCAGATTCTTCCCTTGAAGGATTTGAGTCAATAGAATTTGCATCCACATCAGAAGAATCAACCAAAGGTTACAAGCTTGAAGTTGAATCATCAGTCTTAGGGTCATCAGCTGGCCTTGAAGTCACTTCGGAATCAGTCACAGAAGCAACAGTTTCTGCTTTCCATCTTGAGTTTCAGTCCACCAAGGAGTCGGCCTCTGATATCAAAGCCGTTGTTGAAAGTTCGTTAGAGACCTCCCAGATTTTGGAACTAGGCTCAAACGTTTCCCTTGGTGCAGTAACAGACTCCACAGTAAAATTTCATTCCCATTCTGAGGAAGCTGTTGCTGGCTTGAAGTTTGACTATCAAAGTACTACTGGGGAATCTGTGAAGACTAATGAGGAAGAACTATACTCGGGCTTGAAATTTGGTTATCAAACAACAACAGAAGAGGAAGTCAAATCTAAAACTGCTACTGGCTTGGAACTTGATTATCAAATCACTACCGAAGAATCAAAAAGAGAAGAAGAGCCGGTCAAATCTAAAACTGCTACTGGCTTGGAACTTGATTATCAAATCACTACCGAAGAATCAAACAGAGAAGAAGAGCCGGTCAAGGCTGAAGCAAAATCGACCAATTTGAAATTTGATCATCAAACTACTACTGAAGAATCGGCTAAGACATTTGCAGAAGAATCATCTACCGACATCAAATTCAATTATCAAGCAACCACAGGCCAAACAACCAAAGAGGCAGCAGCTAACTTGATTGTTGATCATCAGTCTCCGACTGGGGAAACTTTTAAAGAACCATCTGCTGATTTGAAATTTGATTATCAATCAGCTACTGAGGAGACTACACACCTCACTGCTAAGGAGCCATCTGTGGATATAACACCTGGCTCTAAAACTGCAGTAGAGGAAACACGCTTTGCTGATTCAGAACTTGATTATCAAACTCAAATCACTTCAGAACTTGATTATCAAACTCAAATCACTTCAGAGGAGACTCCAGAGACAACTGGGGAAGAACAATTAACTGATTTAAAACTTGATTATCAAATATCTACAGAACACACCGCTAAAGAGGCACCTACTGATTTAAAACTTGATTATCAAATATCTACAGAGCAGACTGCTAAAGAGGCACCTACTGATTTGAAGCTTGATTATCAAATATCTACAGAACAGACTCCAAAAGAGACACCTGCTGATTTGAAACTTGATTATCAAATATCTACAGAACAGACCACTAAAGAAACACCTACTGATTTAAAACTTGATTATCAGATATCTACAGAACAGACTGCTAAAGAAACAGGAGTTGATCTTAAACTTGATTATCAATCTACAACAGAAGAATCAAGTTTTCAAGTAAACGCTGACACTTCAGTGTCAGAAGAAAGTTCATCAGAGCTTGAGGTCACTGCCCAGTTATCACGAGAAACAACTTATTCATCCACTGAATATCAATCTACCTTAGAAGAAACTGACAAAACTGTGACATTTGATTCACCAGAATCCTCAGCTAGAAAACTTTCAGACTCAGACTATACACTTACATTTTCACAGAAAGATTCTTCGGAATCCCCTGTTCCTGAGCAAACTTCGAACGTTGGTGTTGAGGCCTCGATCTCGCAGGCTGAACCGAATGTGATTAAAACAGAAGTACGCAGTGAAGCTTCATTTCAACGTGAAGTAGTTGGTAATCAGAGAGTTGAGGAAGATACAGTCAAGAGATCAGCAGAAGAGAGCAAAGAGGCAGTAAAGAGATCAGCAGAAGAGAGCACAGAGACAGACAAGAGATCAGCAGAAGAGAGCAAAGAGGCAGTAAAGAGATCAGCAGAAGAGAGCAAAGAGGCAGTAAAGAGATCAGCAGAAGAGAGCAAAGAGGCAGTAAAGAGATCAGCAGAAGAGAGCAAAGAGGCAGTAAAGAGATCAGCAGAAGAGAGCAAAGAGACAGACGAAGGAAAAAAAGGATTTAGTCCACAAGTGATCGGCACCATGGACGACTGCGTCATTGAGTTGGGAGAAGTCGCCAGATTTGATTGCCGTGTTTCCGCCTACCCAGATCCTGAAATTACATGGTAAGTTTCATGAATAGTTGTTTTTTCTTGCTACATTTTTCACGGCTCGCAATTTACAACATAATTCAGACCATGAAATTGCTTGTTAAATTTTAACTTACTGGTATATTTTTCAGAAGTTTCATTTTATTAATCTAAATCCTGAAGCTATCTTTTCATTCACTGTTATTTTAAATCAGATTTATAATGCTTGATTGGAATTTAATTTTAAGACAGTCAAATTTGAACAGTTTTTATCATACCCTGCATTATAGAGGTAAACTACATACTCATTGACACCCATAGAGACACACATACTCAGAGACCCAAACTCACAGACATAGATAGTCAGAGACAGACACACATACTTAGAAACGCCTATAGTCAGAGACACCTATAATCAGAGACACATAGTCGGAGACACACATGCTTAGAGACATACATACTTAGAGACACACATACTCAGAGACACATGTACTTAGAGACATACATGGTCAGACACATACACACACTCAGACAGACACAGTCAAACACACACATAGTCAGAGACACATGTGCTCAGAGACACACATAATCAGAGGCACATGTCCTCAGACACACCCATATTTAGAGACATACATACTCAGAGACACATGTACTCAGAGACACACATACTCAGAGACACCTATCGTCTGAGACATCCATGATCAGAGACACACATAGTGTGTTAAGTTATAAAGCTCTGAGACATTCATGTAACCTGCACCATTTTCAATCCCTTTCAAAACATAAGCAATACCTTTTTTTTTTTAAAAAGTAGTGCTATTAAAGTTGGACTTCTCTATCACATCACATCATAGAGATCTGTAACTGGGATGTGTACCAACTGAGATGTGTGCCAACTGAGATGTGTGCCATCTCATTCTTGTTGCTGCCACTTGCCCTAACACTGCAGCACTATTTCTTATATTGTTCTCATGCCCATTTCTTCCATTGCCCCACCACCAGGTATAAGGATGGAAACAAAGTCATCCCCTCGGTCAAACATGAGCTGGTCAACTTCCATGATGACATCTTCTCACTGCTCATCAAGAAAGTGGAACCAAAGGACAGCGGCCGATACACCTGCCATGCCAAGAATGAGTACGGAGAAGCAAAGACGGAGGCTTTACTCAACGTTCTGGGTAAGTTGATTCAGGTCATACACAGATGAGTTGTCTCAGGTCATACTTTTGAGTTGATACCGGGGGTCCAATCCTGGGGAATAAATATGTTTTAGGTAGCAAAAAAAGTATAGGAATGCCATTCCGACACATTCCTGCTGGAATCGACCACTGGTTGATAATATGGGCATGAGTTGATAACAGGGACCATTTACATCAATAGACATACATTTGAGAACATCTGTATGACTGTGTCATTATGAGTTTATATTACAGCTTTAGCTTAATGTATGACATTCCCATCTTTTTCCACTGCTCATGTTTGTCGCACATAGAAATATTCACACTGTCGACCATTGTAAGAGTAATTTATCTTGGTCCTTTACCGATATTTATTTGGCCTCAAAATATTTATTTCTTCAAATTTCTTAGGACATATTTAAGAACATTAGAGCGCTGTGAGCATGCTAAAGTAGCATGGATACAAGCGCTATATAATTATTCCATTCAATTCATCCCAAATGTTTTTAAGGTCAGGAGATTTAAGGCCAATCTTTGACTGGTCCATAAATTCATGTATGGCCGCCAGCTAGTAGAGTCATGTTAAATAAAACATGAACAAATGTGTGAATGAACATATATAATTAAATTGTTTAAAGTACAAACATTTTCATCTGTTACCATTTTTTATCTTTCCAAAACAAACCAAAACAAAAATTCACAGATTGTTAAATATATACATTAAATGAGCTGCCATGTAATTCCTAGAAATGACTTGTCCTTGAAACGACTCGTTTGATTTCAGATCAAAAAGAAAAGATAACAGACGCCCACGTTGCCCCTTGCTTCCTCACAAAGTTCTACGACATTGAAGCGGTTGAGGGCGTCCCGGTAGAGTTTGTGTGCGTCATCTATGGCAACCCGGATCCTACTGTCACCTGGCTGCTCAATGGCAAGGAGGTGGAGAGTGGCTCAGAAATCTTAACCAGAAGACAAGAAGACACTGTCATGTTGGCTTTCAGGTACGGTTTTATTTCATCACAAGGACATTTTTTTTGGTAATGCTTTATTCACATGGGAAAATATTTTATAAAAGAGTTTTCTTTATCTCTTACCATTTTAAAACCAATGTTGCCTTTTAGGGTCCAGGTCATATTTTAGGGTCCTTGTCGTGTCATGGGGTCCATGTCGTATTTTAGGGCCCGTATGCTCAAGACTCAAAGTCATTGTTGTGTTTCTCCTTATTTGTTTCCCTTGAACATCATTTCATTTCCCTTCTTTCTAAATCTCTCACTGTCCCTCTTTCTTTACTTTTGTGGTACAATGAATAAGTGTATGTTAAGACATTTTTTCCATGTTTTATTATGGACTTTATAGGACAATGTGGACTGTAAATATGGGACAATGTGGAATGTAGATATGGGACAATGTGGAATGTAGATATGGGACAATGTGGAAAGTGCAGATATGAGACAATGTGGAATGTAGATTTGGGACTTTTTTAATCTTGTGGATCTATTTCCCCAATTACTATGAGAGTGTACTTGATATTGACAGCATATTATTTCTCTGTAAATAACAGGTCTGTACAAGTAGAACATTCAGGAGAAATCATCTGTAAACTGAAGAATGATTCAGGCCAGGCCCTGTGTAAGGCGAGGCTGAAAGTCAAAGAGGATTTGAGCAAGAAGGGGGATCGCCCTCTGTTCTTGGAAAGACCTTCAGACAAAGAGGTCAGTGAAGGTGAAGAGGTCACGTTCGAGTGTGTCATCTCCGGCAGCCCGGATCCTGATGTCACCTGGTACTTCAACGGGCGGGAACTGCACGAGTCCCGACGTAGGTCCATGCGGCGCAAGGCTGGACAGAAATACTCATTGACTCTGCGAGAGGTCATCCTGGACAATGCTGGCGTGTACACGTGTAAGGCAGTCAATCGTGTTGGTGATGCCTCATGTGCTGTGGAGCTGTCTGTCAAGGAGCCCCCAACAGAGCCAACATATAAAGGTCATGGTTACGGGTAAGTGGAGATCATAGTTATCTGGATTAAAATGATTTTAAATTATCACTTTGATTAATGGGAGAGTAAAAACTGGAAGGCCTCTGTGCCTGTTGGTGATGTTAATAAACTTCAGCAGTTTTATCAGGTATTCTACCACTTACAAACAACATGCACCAATTCTCATTTTTGAATCTAGCTGTAGGAGTAAAGTTGGTTGACCTCTGATCTCAATTAAATAAGAACACCAAGTGAATTTTTAGAATCAGTGAGGAAAATTAAAATGAAATGGGTTCACATCTTTTATTAAATAGTTTAATGTTGTGATTTCCATATGACCAGCCTGGACCATGATGCTCTCAAGTACTCGTTCCCTCCAACCTTCACTCGTCGCATCCAAGACATGCAGAGTTTGCCTGGTCGAATGGCCAGGTTTGAGGCTATGGTGATTGGAGTGCCTGAGCCAGAAATTGAATGGTAATTTATGATTTTTGTCCATGTATGAGCGTTGATTTCATTAATAAGGGTTTGGGCCTGTAATGAATTCTTCTCTTTAAAATTTCAAGTTGTTAAATTATCTAAAGCAGGGGTGGGCAAACTACCCCGGCGACTGATATTATGCAGCCCTTGAAGAAATATAGAAATTTAAAAAATAATTTTTTAAAAAGTTTTTTTTAATGAATTTTACAGAATTTTATGTACCATTATGATTGTTTAAAAATTTTTTATCAACTATCATTCTAATTTTCTATTTTTATAAACAGTCTTTGATTTTTGTCATGCAAGGTTAAAATGTGAATTTACCAATTTTAATGTAGAGAAATTTTATCGACATGTAAAAATTGGACATAATATACATGCATCCCCCCAATAGCTTTAGATTTGTCAATGTGGCCCTCCGCACAAAAAGTTTGCCCACCCCTGAAATAAAGGGAAGCAAAAATACAAAAGCCCCAAGTATCAAATATAATTGTATAAATGGCAAGCAAGTACTACTAAACATCTATCCAAGTATTGCAATGAACAACTCAACATCTATCCAAGTATTGCAATTAACAACTAAACATCTATCCAAGGATTGCAATTAACAACTAAACATCTATCCAAGGATTGCAGTCAACAACTCAACATCTATCCAAGTATTGCAGTCAACAACTAAACATCTATCCAAGGATTGCAATGAACAACTAAACATCTATCCAAGGATTGCAATGAACAACTCAACATCTATCCAAGTATTGCAATCAACAACTAAACATCTATCCAAGTATTGCAATTAACAACTAAACATCTATCCAAGTATTGCAATTAACAACTAAACATCTATCCAAGGATTGCAATCAACAACTAAACATCTATCCAAGTATTGCAATTAACAACTAAACATCTATCCAAGGATTGCAATGAACAACTAAACATCTATCCAAGTATTGCAATTAACAACTAAACATCTATCCAAGTATTGCAATGAACAACTAAACATCTATCCAAGGATCGCAATGAACAACTCAACATCTATCCAAGTATTGCAATTAACAACTAAACATCTATCCAAGGATTGCAATCAACAACTAAACATCTATCCAAGCATTGCAATTAACAACTAAACATCTATCCAAGGATTGCAATGAACAACTAAACATCTATCCAAGTATTGCAATTAACAACTAAACATCTATCCAAGTATTGCAATGAACAACTAAACATCTATCCAAGGATCGCAATGAACAACTCAACATCTATCCAAGTATTGCAATTAACAACTAAACATCTATCCAAGGATTGCAATGAACAACTCAACATCTATCCAAGTATTGCAATCAACAACTAAACATCTATCCAAGTATTGCAATTAACAACTAAACATCTATCCAAGGATTGCAATGAACAACTAAACATCTATCCAAGTATTGCAATTAACAACTAAACATCTATCCAAGGATTGCAATGAACAACTAAACATCTATCCAAGTATTGCAATTAACAACTAAACATCTATCCAAGTATTGCAATGAACAACTAAACATCTATCCAAGTATTGCAATGAACAGCTCACCCATTTATTTACTATTTGTTTTGTCTGTTAGGCAAAAAGATGGCTTCCCCCTGAAATCTGGTCCCAAGTACAAAATGGGTCGTGAAGGTCACACAACTATTTTGGTGGTTGAGAACTGCGATACAATGGATGAAGGGAACTACACTTGCAACATTTACAACGATGCAGGCAAGGCTTCCTGCTCGGCGCAGCTTAAAGTTCAAGGTCAGTCAAAGTGTATTCTTGCTGTGCAAGCATCTCAGATTTTTAGTTTTGAAAAAGGAAAAGTGTATTTTTGGAAACAGCCGGCTGTAACCAGTGTGTAAATTAAGCTTGATAAACATTTTTCTTGGTAGAGTTGTGCAAAGAACATTTATATTAGCAGTTCTTGTCATTTATGATTTGTATTTTCAGACGAGAGAAGTCGCCAGTCAGTACCCAGATATTACACTCCCAGTGTTGGTAGAGACAGTTACAGGGGCTCACCGTCCCCGGCACCCCGGAGATCTGTTGTCAGAGAAATCCCACTGGAAGGTCAGGACGTGCAAAAGGGGCTTTTCTTTATTGTGTGGCTTGAAAAATCTTCAATTTTCTGCCAACAACACTTAGTGAATGGTGCCATATCTCATCACTGTTTAAATATGTTTTACTTCTTGGTTTCAAATTTTGAAACACACTATCAAAATATTTTGTAGTGAAAAGACAGTGGCCCATTTTTTCTTGATCACATGAAATTATATTTTATCTTGTGAAACAATCTAGGTGAATTTACCTTATTTCTGCATAAATAGAAATCAATATGTCGAAAAATGAATTAAAGAATGGGTCTAATTACAGGGAAAAAATTAATCTTTTTTTTTCTTCGGGAAATATTGTAGTACAATTAATTTTATTTTAGCTTTTAATTTCTTTTAACAAATTTTGTAGTATAAATTTAGAATGTTTTTATTATTATCACTGGCAAAAAATAGTTTTTAATATACTATTTAGGTAGAAATTAAAAACTAGTTAAATTTTACAAAAAAGGCAGATGCTATTGTTCCTATCTAAAGGATCATTTGACTTTGCTTGTTTTGACAAAATGTTTATATTTGAAATGCAGACAAAATCCCCACTATTCCCATTGACAAGCCAGTCCTGCTAGATGTCAAGCCCAATGCTGTCAAACTGTCATGGATGCCGGCACCCACTGCTTCACTTCCTGAAAATGCCCAGAGGATCACATACACCATTGAGGCCAGGGAGTTGCCGAACAAGAACTGGGTCAGGTAACCACATTTAAAAATTAGCTTTATAGGTCAGGATGAAACCAAATTATTTTTTGACATCAGCTTTATAGGTCAAGAATATACCCAAATATTACTGAGCATTAGCTTTATAGTTTATGATAAAACCCCAAAATTACTTGGCAGTCTTGTGGAATCCCCATGGCAATAGATTAATGTAGAGGAAGTGATAGTGATCTCTGGGTAGATTTGGATTGGGGATGAAAATAATTGATCACTTTAAAAAATTGGGGGTGGTGAGGTCAGGCCCCAACTTGTATGGTCAATATCAATACCATCAATGTATTTGCCCGAGGGCACCAAGGATGCTAACACCAGCACTAGAGGGGATCAAGACAGAGAGAAAGGGAATATGAATTATCATTAATGGCCTGTGCTCCTCTGACAACAACATAGGCTGAAAGCAAGAACCTTTCTGTACATAATCAATTAGTACATTTTTGTGTTGTGAAATAATTTTAGATTACACTTTGTTCCTCATGGCATTGAAATAATATGCTCAAGAATCACCTCTTGGCTTCTTTGTTATCAAAATTTCAATCCAAATGATCAATTTTTTAAGATACTGTCTCTATGGAAGTCAGATGTTTATTACTAACATAGTCAGTAAAGAAATGTATGGTAAGATTTGAAGAAGATTCTTAAAGCAAAACAATCAGAAACAACTCTGACAAAAATTTAAGGTATCCATTTATTTTTCATTATTTTCTGTGTATTTTGAAACATTCAAAACAAAAGGCTTTTAATCCTTCAATGAGTTTTTAACTGTTAAACATGGCCACATCTTGGATTGTTTCATGGCCATCATTTCCTTGTGCATTTCTAGACTTGATGGTAACATAGAAGCCACCACACACTATGCCTATAACTTGAAGCCAGACAAAGAGTATATGTTCAGGGTCAAGGCTGACAACCGTTTCGGGACAAGTGAACCAACACTCCCATGTACTCTCCGGGCAAGAGAAGGTTTAAAAAAATGTTCAAATCTTTAAGATAAAATATTTTTTTGTAGTGCATCTAACAAGAAAACTCATTAAAATACCCATTCAATAAATAGTTCATATAATTTTTTTTTATATAATCTGAAATATGACATTCTTCATGCATTGTTAGGTAAACTGGAAATCACTTAACATTTTCTTGTGAGTGTAATGAAATATGTACTAATAACACTATTGAGGATTATATTTTTCAGAACCCAGAACACGAGAATCCATGCTGAGAGAGTCAGAGACCCCAGGTAAGTGGCCTACATCTTACTTATTGAAATGGCTCACATGTAATTATTAAACTATTTACAAAATAACAGTAGTTGGGTACAGAACAACTTTTCAAACTTTTAAATGCTTTAGACATGATCCGTAAAGCATGAATAATAATGCTTCAATCTAAATCTTCAAACTTTTCTCTCTAATTAGTTCGTCCAGTCCTGCCCAGAAGTCAGCCTTACATTTCTGACATTGGTAAGGAGACCTTACAGCTGGGATGGAAGCCGGCAGAAGTCCCGTACTACACAGGCAGGTCAATGTCTGTGCCCCCCGTCTCTTACAGAGTTGAGGCCCAGAAGCTCCCAAGCGAGGAGTGGGTCCCCCTGGCCAGCCGTGTCAGGAAACCCAGCTTGTACCTCTCTGACCTGGAGCCTGATCGGGACTACAACATCAGGGTTAGAGCTCAGACGCCCTACGGCATAAGTCAACCTACAGAGCCATTATGGATACCAAGAGCTAAAGGTCAGATGATGCCTGGATGTGTTAACTTTAAACATGTTTTTAGGCTTCATTAAACTACATACCTTGATAAAAACATATGTGCTGACATTTAAGCATTTCAGTGTAGTGGCCATGGTGATATTTTCAGTCAAACCTCGGTTATAAATAATATAAAATATTGTGGCCAATTAATTTTTAATTTATTAATGGAATTGACATCATTTAGAAATTCAACTAGTTTTCCCCAGCGATTTGGTACTTTCTATATGTTTTCAAAAGATTTGATTTGAAATAACAACAAATATGAATTTCGTAAGGATCAAAATAAGGAAAAGATAAAACACGTTCCCATGTTTTGGTTACAGCCTTCACTGGAGTCCCAGTGTCCAGGCCCACCATCTCAGAGATTGAGGAGGGCACAGCTCGTCTACAGTGGAACAGGGTCGAAATACCTGCTTTTGACAATCGGGACGAACCTTTACTCTACATGATTGAGATGCAGGAGCCACCATCATACAGGTATGGGAAAAAGCCTCAAACTTTGATGGCGCGATTTAGCCCATTTTATGAGGTAGCTACTCAAGTGTGTATTTTTTTTATCTTTATGTGAAAATAAAGTCAATTTCAAGTGTATGGCAGCAATTAAAGATCATGGTAACAATTAACGATCATGGTATATATTCACTGCTTCTGGGTGAGCATAAATAATGACTACTTATGTAACCTTCTCAAAAAAACAATTTTATCTTAGGACTAACGGGATTAGTACATTATTTTCTACGTACAAATTTTGGATCAGAAATGAAATAAAAAAAGTGTTTCCATTTGTAATTTTTGGATCATCATTTCAAATTATTTACACTTTCTTTAATTCATCTTCTTGCAGATATAGTATCATTTTTAAAGTAATTTGGCTATAATTTTGCAATTAGTTTGCTAATAATTTTGCTTTACTTTTTTACTCTCAAGATGGCGTGAGCTGGCACGTCGTGTACCAAATAATTTCTATGTTGTACGTGACCTGGATCCTGGACAAGACTACCGTTTTCGAGTACGTGCAGAATCACGTGATGGACTTCTGAGTGAGCCGAGCCCGGCTACCTCCATGTTTAGGACACTTGGTACGATAGTCTGTATTTGATTACAACTCATTCATTTTAGATACAGAAAATTTGTTAGTTTGTATCTGTTATGGACCTGATGGGCATAGTTAATGATTAAAAAATTATTTTATTAGTGTTTTCATTAAAATCTTCTTAAAGTATTCTAGGCTGATTATTTATTGATGTCTAATATATCTAACTCTGGCTGTTAATTCTTCTAGCGCTGACCCACACACCAGTGGACAGGTTGGAAGTTGAAGAGTATGACCCTGATCTTCAGAGTGCCAGGTTGTCTTGGAGACGAGTGGAAGTACCACCCTATGGAGATTCTGAGAGTCCTCTTCTGTACATGATTGAGTAGGTTCATGATTGAGTGGGTTCATGATGAGTTGGTACATCATTGCCTATGTTCATTATCGTTTAAGATCACGATTGAGTGGGTTCATGATGAGTTGGTACATCATTGACTATGTTCATGATCGATTAAGTTCATGATTGAGTGGGTTCATGATGAGTTGGTACATCATTGACTATGTTCATGATCGATTAAGTTCATGATTGAGTGGGTTCATGATGAGTTGGTACATCTTTGAATATGTTCATGATCGATTAAGTTCATGATTGAGTGGGTTTGAGCAATCCCAAGGACTAATGAAATTACCTAGCATGAAGATCAGCATAATTTGATAGAATTATCTCATTAGCAAATTCAGCATAATTTTTAAAGTAAAAGTTGGCATTCATCCACTATAGCAGGCCTGCTCAACTCAAAATGTTAGGCGGGCCGTAACACTTTATGAAAACTTGTGCGGGCCAAAAGAAAGTAGGACAGAGGGGAAAGCTATTAAGAAAATGATAAGAATAAACAATATTTCGTTACTTCGCAGGCCGCAAATTGGGTGCTTGCGGGCCACATTCGGACTGAACTACAGCATCAAGTCTGAACATTGGACATGCATAATTTCTGTAAAACATTTCTGTAAATTCACGCAAAGCAACCTTGTTTTCAGGTATGAAAATCCGCAGCATGAAGGTTGGCGCCCTCTGGTGAGTGGAATCCCTACCACACGCTACCGAGTACCAGACATTTCTCCCTCAGATGATTACAGGTTCAGAGTTAGAGCCCTTAGTCCTTATGGCATCAGTCCACCATCTTACCCAACTGGACTCTACCGAAATTTAAGTAAGTCGCACAATCAATCAATATGCTACACATGGAAATGAACCACATGCAAAGGCTTTTGATGAAATTTCGGCCCCAAGGGAATTTTTGGAATGGTGGTTAAAATATGGTCTCAAAGTGTTCTACTAAGATGGGCTTTACAACTAAGATGGGCTTTACTCGTGTCATGTTAAATGAAAATTTGTAAAAAGAAATATTTAAAAAAAAAAAAGGAAATAAAGTGTTAATAAAAATCTATTTTTAAAAATATTCAAAGTATAAATATATTAAAAGGAGTAAAAATAATAAATCTGCAACTGTGAACTAAGGATTATATCAAATCATTCAAGCTTGGAAAAATACAAATAATTAGTAGCATTTTGGGGAAAAAAGGTGAGGTGAAACGACCACTGCTATCAAGCTTATAATGATAGATCCGTCTTCTTTTATTTTATGATAAATTGTTTTAGGGTTCATATTTGGAGTTTCATTTTGTCCTAATTCAAGCCACATCTTTTCCTGTAATGCATGTATGTCAAGATTGATTTTGATTGATTTATTCAGTTTGATATAAATATTTTTAAAACTATTTACTGGGAAAACTGTAATATTTCAAATCTGCAAACTTATCTAGGCCCCATGCGTCCTTTGGCACAAGACTTACACATCAGTGATATGGAACCCTCCAGTCTCAGGTAAATAAACTTTTGGTTACTTTTGTAACATGTCTCATTCATTTTATAACAGATGAATGTTACATTTCAATGAAAAGAATTTCTGATGAAGAGATTAACAAAACATTATTATTATGTTAAGATTTATTCAAATAAAATACTTTCATTCTGTTGTTCATTTAATATAGAATGTTTAAATACATTATCAAAAATTTAATTTGTAAACAGTTATTTTAGTCATTTTTTAGAATTTTTTAACACTATAATTTGTTACAGGCTGTCATGGAGATCAGCCTCTGTGCCACCAATCAAAACTGGGGAGCCGGTCTCCTATCAAATTGAGGCCATGGAGTATCCTAAGCGAGAGTGGCGTCCCCTAGCAACCAATGTTCAAGATACCAGCTACAAGCTGGGTGGCCTCAAGCCTGCTGCGGATTACTCTTTTCGTGTGAGAGCAATCACCCCTTCTGGCTTCGCTGACCCAACACCACCGGTCACTTTGACCTCCCTACCAGGTAAATATTGCTGATGTGAACTTGAAATGTTTTTCTTCAAGGTTTAGCTTTTGAGGAATGACGGAATGATATATCACATATACCTGAAGAAACATTTGTTTAAACATCAAATAAATTAGATGCATAAACTATGTACAAAGTCAACACGTAATGTGTTTTTTTTATTATTCAATACTGTAAGATGCAAAATGCTGGTGTCTATGATGTTTAACAAATTTTGATAAAAGTCAATGTACTTCTTTTGGTCAGTAACACAGAAAGTTACATTGGAAAAACTGCTAGGCACTCATTCTTAAATACTACCATTCATTTTTTTTTTTGATGTATGCCAAGACTGATAAAACATTTTTTGCTAATAACAGTAATTCTATTACTTTTATCAGTGGCTGATATAAATAGTTTTACTTTGAGCTCTCTCCTGGTATCCAGGTCTTCATGTTGCACAGTAAAATATGTCTTATATGAAGCAGCTTAACAAATGATTTGTTAAATTTGTGTTTAAAACCTGTGTGCTTGGTTGGCAGAGTGGCAGAAGACATTCCAGCTACAAATGAAAACCATTTTTCTGTTTTATTTGTTAGCGATCATTTCTGTTTTAATTTTCAGACATTTCTAGGAAAAGATGTGCATGACTAGAACCCATGTGTATGTAAAGTGATTGATGTGAAAGTTTGTTGTGGAGAATTTTTCCATTTCACTGAAGTATTGTCTCCTGAATCTAAACCTTGATAAGTGTTCCTGGTGAAAACTTGCAATAAAATGTACCATCATTACTGCCAGTTAAAAACATGTCTTGAGAAAGAGTGAAACAAATCTCATTGATTTAATTGTGCTTTAGTCAAATTTCAATGCAGCAAGCAAAAAAAAAAAAAAACCTTTGGACTTAAAATGAAACCTTATACTATTATATTTTTTATAATTTTTTTTTCATTCATTTAAGTTAATTTCAGATGCATTCAAAGGAAATTTTAAAGATCCCACATAATCCCTTCTACAAGTATAAATGATATAAGCCATTAATATTTTATAAAATGCATACATTACTTTTCATACAAATATCAGCTATGAGACAAACTACTTTATAAGATTGCAATAGATGGGAACATTGCTGTGTTAGGCTCACCTGTTGTGGATTTCATTTTGTCGTGCTGGTAGTTTCTTTGAAAACTTACTGTGAATAAAGTTGTGTATATAGATTGCTGTTTTTGGAATGACTGCGTCAAATATATATATCATTTACAAATAATTGCAGTAATTTATTTATTTTGTTAAAATAATTTTTTGTATTGTAAAATCTTTGTTTAAAAATGCCAATACTCTTGCCTTCTTGAAATTACATTTCATTTTAAAACATGCCAATATATCATTAATTTCCTTTAGAAATATCAAATTACTTTATTTTTGTTGAAATGCCGAGACCTCAAAGTCCTCATCCTATGAAGTCCTGGTTGTTTAGTAGAAGATAGCTTGAACTTCCTCACACAATTCTTTCTAAGCACTCACCATTTGAGTTTGTTCAGTGCAGAAAAGACACCAAGCATTTTGCATCAGTTTTCATTGTTGAGCCTGTTACTATGGTTATGTTGTGATTCTTAGTTTGTCTTGTGAGAGTGATGCAATATATGACATTTGAAATGTGTCATGCAGCAATGTATGACATTTGAAATGTGTCATGCAGCAATGTGTGACAATTGAAATGTGACATGCAGCAACATATGACATTTGAAATGTGTTATGCAGCAATGTATGACATTTGAAATATGCCATGCACCATCCAAAATAAGTACTTCTCTTCAATGATAAATTTATTTTAGTTCTTAAATGATCATTAAATAATTATTTAATATTTCAGAAAAGCTTATCAAATTTTATTGCAATATTTAAACTTTAAATAAATATTAAAGTAGATATACAATTGAACAATAAAGACTCCCTTGCCAGAGGTTGCAGACACATTTGAGCTCTCCGCCCATTTCACTCTTAATAAAAGAAAAACTGCAATCACATTTCACAATTACGTTAAAATATTTGTTAACAAACAAACCTAAAGATCATGTATGTTTACCCTTGCTGATGACAATATGTTGAACCCCACTAGTTGGTAGGCATTGGTAGGAGAAGCCTTAGGTATGCATACAATTTTTTTTTTTTTAGAGTGAACTGAATTCAGCAGATTTTGCAGGGGGGGGGGGGCTTATTTTTTTTTTGTCTGAAACTTTGGAAGTCCAAGGAATTATAACATAAAATAATGCAGGCAGCACAGCGGCAACCATCTTACCTATAAAATGAGAGAAAAGAAACATCTATTTACTGTAGAGATGGGGGAATCCTTCAGAAATCAAGAAATTAGAATGCTGTTGAAACTATTTTTAAAATTCTTTGCTGTATTACAGCCCTGTCACTTAATATTTTTTTTTTTACATAGCCCACACTTTTATTATAAATTTTAGCAAAGAAATTGTTCATTTATAAGATGAACCTTAAAGTAGTAGTAGTTACATTTTAAAAATTATTTTAGAACTAATAGAAGCTAAAGATAGATTCTCTCAATTTTAGAAACTTGTTTGCATAAATGAACAAAGCCCAAGTCATATTTCATTGTGATAACTCAATTGTTCAATTTGTGAAGAATGCTTAGAATAGTGATTTTAACAGAATAATTTTTGTAAATTAAATGTAAGAAATTCTCATTGTATTTTAAAGGGTAGTTCTTTGGGAAAAACCCTTTTTGAAACATTCTTAAACTGTCACCAAAGCAAGTCTAATATCTCATTCTTGTATTGATAGCTAATAACTATCATTTTTCAGTAAGGCCTCGTCTTCCAGTTAGAGAACCCTCCATATCTGAGCTGGGCAGTGATTCTGTGAGACTCCAGTGGAAACCAGCGGAGTTGCCATACTACTCTCGACACCTGACCCCCATTGTGTATTCTGTAGAATATCAGGTAACAAAATGTCTTACAAACATGATAAGAGCATCATAAGGGATGAGCATTTAAAAATTCTAAAACTGCTACATATATATTTAGTAATTATGATGATAATGAAATTTTTGAAGGATGTAGAAACATGGTTATAAGTTCTAGGGCAGTTTTAGTGGCTATAAAAAATAAATCTGTATTTTTTAAAACCCTACAGGAGATCCCAAGTCGAGATTGGGTAACGGCAGCAAAAGGAATCCCTGACACTTCCTATGTCATGCGCGGACTCCGTAACGACAGAGATTATCGCTTCCGTATCTGTCCTGAAACAGAGTATGGACCTGGAGAGTACAGTCTTCCAGTACAAGTTCACAGACGCATTGGTACATTTAAAGATTCCAAATAAATAGTCCATTTTTATGAGTATAAAGTAAATAAATTGGAGTAGGGCTTGTATTATGTCACAAATATAAAAACTGTGGCCATATTCTTTATTAATCAACTTTAGAATGCTGTCACTTATGAATATATAACAATACTATCTTTATTTCATGCATATTTATTTTTTAAAAGGTGTTGAAAACATACATATTTTTTAAAAATTCACATAATTGTTTAAAGCTTAAAAAATTTAAAAATTTGTACCTAAAGATTTTGTACAAGGTTTTTTTTTCGATTTAAAAATATTTTGAATAAACCAATAATAACAATATTTTCTTTTTCTTTAATTGAGATTATGAACAGCTATAGATTTTATATTTTAAATTATTGTTTTTTATTTGCAGCCCCAACTCTTCCCAACAAAGAACCTTTCCTGTCCAACATTTTGCCCTCATCTGCCACTCTTTCCTGGCCATCAGCCTCACTGGCATATGGAGCTCCTAGTCGCCCGATAGTCTATCGAGTTGAAGGAAGGGAGCCCCCGAGCTCCGCTTGGTATGACGTAGCCAGCCGCGTTCCATCAACATCCTACAACTTACAGTTCCTGTACCCAGACCAAGATTACATGTTCCGTGTCATCGCCGACTGTGACGGTGTGGAGAGTGAACCCACCATGGCTGTTTACCTCCCTCGAAGAGCCGGTACTGTTGTTTAAATAGTCTTTTAGTTAATGGGTGGAGTCTGCTGACATCCATGGTTAGCCTGGGATGTGATTTTTTTATTTAAAGTTGCAGAGTGATGGATTTTATGAAACGCATTAAAAATCAAAACCCATTTAAGCCCTAATACACCCAAGAGCTGCCCCTTAAGTGGAGCTGGAAGATGACTTTGTTTAACAGTCCACTACCTCTGGTATAAACAAGCTCACTTCCTTTGGAAAATCACATCTTGTTAGAGCAGATCCCAGACTTTCCAGCTGAATTGGTAGTTTATTTGGTTAAAAAAAGTCTGAAATGTTCAGAGACAGCTCTTAAGCTAAAAATCAAATAATAAAACCTATGCCAAACTAAAATACTGGACCATGCAGGGGTTCAAAACTTTGTGTAATGTAACAGTTTTAATTAATTTTAATTCAGGCAGAAGAAAATATTTTCAAAATTAACTTGCAGTTCGTCATTATGGTTGAAATGGCTAGAAAGACTTTGCCATTGTATGCTTGTAATTAGTTTTTGTAGTGTTGCGTTTGTTTTAAATGTGGTAAATTATAGATTTGTTTTTTGTTGACTTTGTACCGCGCTTCGAGCGGGGATGAAGCGTGTTTTTGAAATGAACTTTATTATTATTATTATTATTAAACCACCCAAAAAAAATTTTTTTTTACATTACAAAAAATAGCACTACATTTTTTGTTCAATTGCTCAAATTATTATCACATTCACTAATCCATTCGTCTATGACTTCAACCAAAATAGAAACTCAGATCCATGATACAAAAAAGAAAAAGAATGCCTACTGTAGATGATTACAGTAAAACAGTTACTTTTTATATTAAAGTGCTGCATTTACATGACATTTTGTCCAATATTTTGTCTACATTAGATTGTATGTTCCACATGTATGTCGAGCCAGAATGAGATAAGATAAGATTCTTTTATTGATCCAAATAAATGGTAATGTTTTTTGAATAGGCTGCCCAGTGGCATTACTAACCATTACTACTCATCTCACATGATGTAACATTATAAGTTACATTTTTTATCTACGTTCAGGTCCACCAAAAATGCCCAGGGATGCCCCTTATGTATCCAGTGTCCAGCCAGAATCAGTTATTTTAAGCTGGCGGTCTGTGGAGCTGCCCAGTCGCATCACTGACTATTCACCTGTCACTTACAGGATTGAGGTGAGATATTTTTTTGTTCTTGGTCCATTATATCCTTTGATTACTTTATAACTAACTACAGACATGGATATTATTTATTTACATCATCATAAATTCAAGAGAGTCAATCTCTGCAATCTTAAGTTAAGTACTAATTTATTTTATAATTTGATTCATTTTTTTCGGACAAAATGGTTGTATTGTAGCTAGGACAACTGAATGAGAGAGAAAAAAAAGGGTTGGGTGGGGGTTAAGTTTTGAATGTAACTGTCTGAACAATAGATCACTTAAATCTGTGTTACTCAACTATCTAAATAAGCTAACATTAGGTAATAAAGCTGAGTTATTCTGGTGGCTAGGTCCAAGAACATCCAAGGTCTGACTGGCGCCCCTTAGAAAGAAAGATAACTCAGACACATTTTCATGTCACAAAACTCCGTCCAGACCAGGACTACTCATTCCGCATCAGAGCTGAGAACGAGTATGGCGTTAGTGATCCTACTGACCCATTCCTCGTTAGGAAAAGAGCTGGTAAGAAATTTTACTTCCATAAAATTTTAGTAACACAAGGCAGAAATAATTTTTTAGAATTTAAAATGTGTCATATCTGCACAACAGAACATTTTTTAAAATTACAATGGGTTTTATAAACACATTCTGTCCCTTTTATTTATTTAAGTTAGTGGATATTTCAAATTAAAATGACAAATCTATTCAGCCAAGTTCCAATAGGTGAGACCTTTATTAATGTTACACATTTGTTGGTGTAAAGATTTTTACAATATGAAGTAACAATTTGATCATTAAGTTACTGTACTTTAAGCTGTGTTATATCGACTTAATAATGGTAGTTGAAATCATCATTAGCACTGACAGGTATTCTCAAACATCTGCCTTTCAGTGGCCCCTGTGATGTCCCAGCACGAACCACTCATCTCTGATGTCCGATCAGATTCCCTGAGGTTAACCTGGCAACCTGCTGAGGTGCCATCTTACCTGACTGATACTATCCCTGTTACTTACACAGTGCTGATGCAGGTATGCAGTATTTTTAATTACGTGTACCTGAAGTCACAACCACTCTGGCTATTTTGAGCCAAAACTCACACACATTTATTATGCACAATGACTGCAAGCTTAACATTTGAATTACTAAAACAGAATAGCTTTTAATTTAAAAGGAATTTTGAACAATATTTAACTTTTCAATAACATTGAAACTGTGAATCCCTATTAAATACTAACTTTGCCACAGAAGTTATAATGATAGATCACACAAGAGCAATTTAAAAGTTTATAAAAAATGTAACCAGTAATTACCATAGGGCAAATAGCTTACAAAATTGAGTTTCTGAATGATGAAAAAAATGTAATATATTATTGAACCAATGAAGAAAAAAAAATTAAATTATACTTTGAAATAGTCTCTATAATAAAGCTATTTAAAAAAATCCACAAGAGCAATTTAAAAGTTTATAAAAAATGTAACCAGTAATTACCATAGGGCAAATAGCTTACAAAATTGAGTTTCTGAATGATGAAAAAAATGTAATATATTATTGAACCAATGAAGAAAAAAAAAATTAAATTATACTTTGAAATAGTCTCTATAATAAAGCTATTAAAAAAAATCCATGCCATGCCTACTCATATTGTTAATTGTTATTTTCTAGGCAATAAAGTAGGCAGTGTTTAGATTGTCTGGGATAATTAATGGAGGAGGGTAACAAGAAGAAATTTGATTTTGGTGGGTTTTTCTCATAGTGATATGAATAGAAAGAGAAGTGGTGTGGAGAATGGGAGACATAATGTAGGAGACTTTTACCCTGGGCATGGGCAGTTTATCACATTTCTAACCCCTCTTTGACAGGAGGGAGGGGACCATTCCTGGCAGCCCATCGCCCGCCGTGTTGCAGGGACCAGCTACTTTGTGACAGGTCTCGCTCCAGATAGGGACTACACTTTCAGGATTCAAGCAGAAAACAATTTTGGCTCCAGTCTACCCAGCTTCCCGTCACGTCTGCACAGACAGGGCAAAGGTCAGTTGTGTTAGCTAGGAATGAGTGACAAAAGTTGATTGGACTAGAAATATGTTTCATGCATAGTTTATTCTCAATTTTTTTTTTTTTTTTTTTTTTAATAAACAAATTTTACAAAAATTTTATAGTTAAGTTAGTTAACATAAAAGAAATAGATCAGGTTCTCTATTAAAGACAATAGAAAGAAATTGTCTTTGAAACAAAACACTTAAAAAAAAAAAAAGTTGAATCATATTTTCAATGTTAGTGGAAAGTTTCAAAAGTCCACTGGTGTTTAGTTTCATCCCCATAATTTATTATGATTTTTATATTCAGGTCCCATATATTCACCTGAGATTGAAGACGTTGAAGCCTCTGCTTTTCGCCTGTCATGGAAACAACCAAAATCAGCCTCGAAGAAGGTGACCTACTCTGTGGAGACCCTAGAACCATCCACATGGAAGTGGCGCCCCCTGGTGTCTCGCTTGCCTCACCCTAGCTACAAGATCACCAACATCCAGCCTGCCAGGGATTATGCGTTCAGGGTCAGGGCTGAAGTTGATTCAGTTATCAGTGAACCTTCCCTGCCAATCTCGTTTTCCAACAGAAGAGGTAACTCAACAAAAATTATTGCATAACAGATGCAAGTTCATTTAACATTACAGTTAGACTCCGAGTTAAAACATTTCCTTTAATTCTTTGTCCTTTTGATTCATTACAAACTCCAATGTGGTTACGGCCTTGATAAAAACTGGATCAGTTTTTCTACTGTGCACCAATAGATAAGCAAAAAAAAAATAAGTCCATAATTTGAAATATGGGCTTTGATACTTCAGCTATTAGCCTCAAGTATATGAAAATATCCATTTCTTTATGAAATGCTGTAAGACAATCGGTCAACACAAATTGTGGTACATTTCTTAAAAACATTTGGGCAACTGTGTTTTAACTCTTCCATTGACGATCTCAGTTATAAAGCAATGTTGTTATTATAAGTTATTTTCATAAAGTGTTAAGTATATTTTTATTTTCATACTTTATTCAAGGATGACAGGGTGTTGGTTAGTCCTAAAAAAAAAAAAGAAAATTGAAAATGAAAAAGTTTAATAATGAAAAAAAAAAAAATTTGCTTAAGTCAGTTAATCTCATCGTTAATCCATTTTTAAATCTTCACTTTTGTACAAACCGAGAATATTACTCCTGACAAAGGAATGCTGAGATTACTATTTTCTTGTTTACTATTCTACTTAACACAGTAACTTTTGATTTCAGAGAGGGCCTCCACAGAAATACCATCATACAAGGGTATCCCATCAATTACTTTCTATCTATTGTATTTTATGTTGACCTGATATCACCTAATCACTGCACCGCTACTCACCACATTATTCAATGTTGATTATTTTCACAATTTTTTTTTTTTTTATGTGGTAATTAATATGATTTAACATGAGCACTGAATTAATTCTTGTCTTATTTGTTGGGGGCAGCAGAACTCACAGACACACACTACTGAGTGCCAGTTGGAAGAATTTAATTTCCTACCCATCAAAGTATTTGCTCTAATATGTTTTTGTCTTATCCATTTCTAATGCCTTATGAGCAGCTAACTCCCATTGTTAAGAAGCCCAAAAAAGTTTTAAAAACTAAGTCCAGACATTTTCAATTAAATTACATTATTTTATTTTAACTTTTGTTTTTTAAAAGAGGCAAATGTTCTTAAGTTTTTAGAGGTTAGGATCGGATTCAGGGGTGGGGTGGGGGGGTCAGGAGCTGGAAGTCCATGGGTGTTGATCCTTTCTGATGGGTGATTGAATGGTATGGAATGAAATGCATTTAAAAATAATTGAAAAACTTAAGTGAACAAATATTTTTTTTATCAATTACTTATGAATTAAATAGGTTGTTTCTAATGGCTGTTAAATATGTATGTTTTATTGTTGTTGCATGCATGGTAACTATTTGATCACAAATATATGTAAATTTAGTTCCAGACTGCACCTTATTTTTAAATCAAAACTAAATAAACAAATCAAAGCCGGACACATTTTCTTTGTCTTTGGGGAACCCATGATTTTGTAAAAAGTTTTTATAATCTCAAAATACCTTCATCTTGGAATGGCTTAGACAAATTGTCAAATAAAAATGTTGCTTTTACAGATACACGCATATTTAAAAAAAAAATCTCTTAAATAACTTATTGATGGGGGGGGGGACCATTCCTTTTACGGCACAGATTTAGTTTTTAACAAAGCAACTTCAATATTATTTGTAACTTATTTTCACCAGTTGAATTTTTTAAAAAGTTTTTATAATCTAAAAATACCTTTATCTTGGAATGGCTTAGACAAATTGTCAAAAAAAAATTTTGCTTTTACAGATACACGCATATTTAAAAAAAAAATCTCTTAAATAACTTATTGATGGGGGGGGGGGGACCATTCCTTTTACGGCACAGATTTAGTTTTTAACAAAGCAACTTCAATATTATTTGTAACTTATTTTCACCAGTTGAAAGTTTTTGTACTGTCAAACCTACGTTGCACTTAACTTGATGTCCTTATTTAACCCCACAAAAGTTGTTTGTGTTCATCCGTTTAAACAAAAGACAAACATACATTTCCCTTTCATTTATCAGTACTCTCCAGGGTATCCTCTGTTACAATAGGAATCGACTATTCCAATGTGAATATATCATTCAAATGTGAAGATACTATTCAAATGCAGGCTTAAGTAGAACTAATTTTTTTTTTTTAACAGAAATGTATTAAAGAATATTACATTTATAAAAATAATTTCTTTTTAAATGGTATACGTGATGAAAAGACAACTCTGCTGATTTAACTTAGTTTTTCTATTCATGCCCCTTGACATTCTTTTTGCAGCCCTGCCATCTGTTCCTGTAGAACGCCCCACCCTGTCTGATGTCTATGAAGATTCTGTTCGTGTGAACTGGCATCCGACCCTGTACACAAAGGGCAAGCTGGCATCACAAGCCTTCAGACTGGAGGTAAAATAGAGGCGGCTTTATGTTGCTGTCAAAACATCACTACAAAGAGTTAGAAAACCAAATGAAGCCAGTGTTAAAATAACTTAACAACAGATCATGTCACTGATTCTCCTTATGAAAAATCAAGTCAGACACAAGTTTGTTGGGCTAAAAGACACAGACTGTTGGTGTGGGGTTGTAGGGTTGGGCATTGTTTCAGCAGGCAAAACAAATTTTTTTAAATTACCACAGAACAGAACTATTGCTACCCAATTATCCCAGTGGGCAGTTTGATCAATCTCATCATCTCCATTTGAAATTTTACTTTGAGATTATTTCAGATTAATATTTTTTTTATAATCCATGTAGAATAAGGCCAAAAAACAAATACCAGTAAAGGCAATGTAAAATAGTTAAAAGGCATGTTAAGGGATTTATTACATTTGGATGATATTAAGCTTGTACCACAAAATCAGATGTAAACAAACTATGGACATACAACCCTACATATATTTGGTTAAATTCAAACAACTGCTTTTCTACCTACTCCTAGGTGAGAGAGCTCCCCGACTCCTACTGGCGCACCCTCGTCCCCTACACTGACCAGTGGAACTATGAGGTCACAGACCTTCGACCCAGCCAGGACTACGCCTTTAGAGTGAGAACCGTCACTGATACTGGCATGTCGGAGCCCTCTATGCCAGTTTTTCTCTACCGTCAAGCTGGTATGTCACGTCATATGTTTCATTCACAGCCTTTTCTCACTTGAATGATTTTTTATATAACAAGCCAGCATTTCCTGAACTGTGGCACCCATTTCAAGGTGTTGTGTGAATGAACCCTTAGTTATGCCTTTGAAACAAATGTAGTATCTGAACGTTTTAAAATACATGTTTAGTGTTCATTTCTTTTCATTTCTGCAGCTCAAATGAGTATTTACTGAAATACAGCTCATCCCACGATTTAACAATTTGTTAAAGTATTGTAATAATTTCTTACTAATCCGTGTTATTTTCCCCATCCCAAGGGACATTTGTAAAACAATGTCTTATTGTACACACAGTTCAGGAGACTTTGCTACAAACAGATGAAGCACAGTTGAAATAAAACCTTCAGCTTTGACACACTCTGTCTAAACCTGGGCATGCATTCATTTTTCCAGCTACTCCCAAGTTCCCCCTCCCACCCCCTGAGATTGCTGACATCGGAGACGATTATATTAGCCTCGGCTGGAAGCTGGTGGACGTTCCGGCCTTTGACCTGGACGAAACTCCCCTCTCCTTCATGATTGAAGCTCAGAGGTTACCTGATTATGACTGGAGGCCAGTTGCAAAGGGTGTTACAGGAACATTGCATAAGGTTAGTTTGGGAACCACTGTTACACCTGACAAGTCATTTCAAAATAAAAACTAAATATAAAATATGAATTGAATAGATAAATATTAAAAAATATTTGTATGTTTCAAATAGTTTTACTTTGACTTTGGCACAATATTGTTTTATATGAAATATTGTTGGCACAAGTGATAATGAAGCTTTTGCTTTTATTTTAATGTCAACTTTTCATGGACTAATTCAGGTGACTGGCCTGGAACCAAAACACGATTACAACTTTCGCATTCGTGGGGAGACGCCCATGGGAGTGACGCAGCCTTCACCTCCCATCTCAGTATACAGACGTCCGTGTGAGTGGGGGAAACTTTGTTGATAACATGACGCAACCGCTAAAATGATAAAAAAATAGTTTAAATAAACTATTCATCATTTTTTTGGATTGTTGCTCTTCCTGGAAATACGTATCTCTAATGAAAGCATTTGAAATACTAACATTCAACATTCTTAAGAACCATATGTCCTAAAACTGCACTGGGGATTATTTAAAAATTGAAGTTTATTTTAATTAAAGTATATTTTCCATAAGTTAATTTTTTAAAATCAGTAACAACTCATTTGTTTCAGTCATTAGTAAAACTTTTTGAAAAACTCAATCTTTTAAAAGTTTTATAAGAAATATCCACCACCCACAATGTCCAGAGGTATATGCTGCTCCTTCAGTGTGTTAACCTTCTTGAAGACAGTCTGTGTCTGATCTCTGTTACCTCTGCACCAGAAGTTAATTGTTGTACATCACCTTCACAGTGACATCAGGCGTCCCTATAACCAACGTGACGGTTGACAGTGACGGCAATCAACCCTATTCTGCCCATCTGAGATGGAGTCCTGTCTACATGCAGCCTTACCAGTCAAGCAAGGACATGAGATACGCCATTGAGGTAATCTTATGAGTCACACTGTTAGATACTATGAGTAACAAAGAGGCTTACTACAGCACAGAACCCTTCACTGCTACTCAGTTGTCCCAGGAGGCAGTTTGATCTATCTCATCATGTCCAACATTTACAAGTTTACTTGGAGATTATTTCGGATAAATAAATTATTAAATCCCTCCCGTACAAAACGAAATGCCCTTGTGATATACTACAGAGCAATATGAGGAGGACACCATGCCTTAACTTGCTTCAATGTTGATGTGTCAAGACCAACACTAAGGATTTATATATACTTTAAAATATACACAACTGAGATAGTATACGAATATATGTAAATCTATTTTACTGTTAAAAAAAAAAAAAAGAATGTTTAAAAAAAAAAGAATGTTTACAAAAAAATAAACCTGGAAGAAAAATATGTTGCTGAATTTTTTTTTCTTATTTTCACTAGGTCCAAGAGCCCCCACGAACTGACTGGTCGATACTGGCCCAGAATGTGCCATCAACAAGCTACACAGTTCCCGAGCTGAGTCCAAGGAAAGATTACCTCTTCCGTATCAAGGCTCAGACATCAAGTGGAGAGTACAGTGCCCCTACTGCTCCTATACCTTACTACAGGACACCTTGTGAGTAGACAGTAGACTGTAACAATTTACTAAGAGAGATAGAAAACACCTTTTCAATAAATATGTATGTTATGTAACATTGATTTTTTGTATGTTACATTGATTTATATGTTACATTGATTATATGTTACATTGATTATATTTTACATTGTATGTTACATTTATATCTATGTTATTTTACATTTCAAGACAATGCTGAAAATGTGTTCTTATTTATCCAGTAGCTCCACTGGCCAAACCCCTAGCACTTCCATATCCTACTGAAGACTATTCTCCTATCAATAGACCTTACATTGAGGGCCTCATTCTAAAAGGTGATAAAGTTTAGAGAGTTATAAAATTTGATAGAAAAGTCATTACTTTATTCCAGATTTTAACTTGAATTACAGACAAAAATACTTGATATAGAGGAGCAATTGTTTCAGAAAAAATATATTTTAAGTTCTGTGTCAAAAAATGTTTATTAGATAAAATTGTGAAGAAGAAAAAAAAAAAAAGCTAAATAATTTGTTCTACCCAGTGCCCCCTCGTATGTCTATTGAGAAGCCAGAGTTGACCGTGGTCAGCCCAGATTGTGCTCGACTATCGTGGAAGGCTGCCCGTGTTCCCAGTGCTACTTCTAACCTTTCACCTACGACCTACAGAGTTGAGGTTGGTACTCATCATATTTTGTCAGATCTGTACCTATTCAGTTCACCATATTTTCACAGATCAATGCAGTGATTTTCTCGGCTAACATGTCTACTTATGAATGATAATGCTGCATTTCTGAATATTTGGATACATTTAAGTTTAAATTTGCTTTACACTTTCATAAACAGATCTGCAGATTTATTTTTCCTGTTAAACAAAAAAATAACTAATAATTTACACTAAGTGACAAATAACTACTAAGGTACACACAATGTAAATTTTCAACCTTCGTTTGTTTTCTTTCTCCAAAAAAATTTAGTTAAACATTTCATCTTATTAGTATTAAACCATTTTGGAGAGTCTTCCAGTTTGGACTGAGCTCTATGTCTTTTTTTGTGTGATGGGTGGAGTTTAATATTTATGGTCAACAAAGTACATGCATATTTTGATTCTGTCAGGTTCGACATGAAGACTCATTCGAGTGGATAGAGAAGGCCACACGAATCAAAGGTCTGACCACAGACATCAGGGGGCTTAACCCACACATTGATTACGCTTTCAGGGTGCGGGCTGTCAATGATTTTGGATGGAGCGAGTCAACACTTCCTGTCTTCCTTCACAGACCACAGGGTACGCATATAACGAAACTCAATGGAAATGATGTTGAAAATTATTAATTATTTTATTGCTGTTCTGGAATAAATTTTGAAATTTTAATAAAGGCTGCTTTGAATGAAATCCTAATATGAATTTGAGTATATTTTGAGAACAAATAATAATAAATCGGCATAATTATTATTATTTAACATAAAACATTTTAGTGTACAATTTTTGGACTCCAGGGAGTCACCAACTTTTAATGAATACCGTTTATAGCAGATTTATAATTAATTTTAATTTATAGTACATTTTTGCTGTTTACTTATAATAAACTTTATTTTATTGCTCTATTTAATGTCCATTTAGACCTGAAGGACACTTCCAATGACTTTGAACAGTATGAGATGTATGGATCACTCCTTGGAGATACCTGTAAGTCAACAGCTCTAAACATTTTTATTTATTTTTTGTGGCATTTTTTCATACATTTTTTAGCATTGCTTACATTCATTTGAGATCATTGCTTACATTCATTTGAGATCATTACTTGCATACATTTTAGGTGCAATCAAATATTTTATTGCACACTTTATTTCCACTTAAAGCCCCACCAAAGATGCCCATCGACACACCCAGAATGGGGCTTGTCCAGGGCACCACCATGAAGCTCTCGTGGACGCCGGCTCGTATCCCTCTGTATGCCCGCAAGACTCCAATCACATACCTGATAGAGAAGAGAGAGCCCAGTGACCAAGACTGGACTCCCATTGCCAGCAGAATCGATGACACTGCGTTCACCATCGGCAACATTCTACCCGAGCAGGACTACTTGTTCCGAGTCAGGGCGGAGAATGAGTTCGGTCTCAGCGATGCCACTTTGCCTGCGGCCCTCACCAGATCTAAAAGTTAGTTGTTCTTCGTGAAATAGTGGAAATTGTTTCTTCATTTGTCCTGTCGTCTAAGGAAGGCTCTTAGCCGAAACGTTCTTCTTGTATTGTCCTGTCTTAATATTTCAAGCTTCCACATATCTTGTTTCACTTTTTCCTTCACACGGCTTGAACACAATCCTTCATTTATTATCCTTTCTTCTATGAGACCAGTTTTGTGCAGTTTATTTAATGATTTCAGACATTACTCGTAAATAGGGAATATCAAATTATCATGTTTGGTCTTGGTGGAGAAATGAAAGATTAATATTGAAACTGAAATGCACATTTTGTCATTTAAATTTCAATAAATTTGTTTGCCACTCGCAGCTTTCTGTTTTTTTTATTTTTTATATTAATTCCATCCAACATTTTCATTATTAATAACAGTAATATGCACTTAAAACTTGTTTTCAACAAATTAATTATTTTTTAAAATTAGTAATTGGTAACTCGAGTTCAGGCAAGTGAATATTTTCTTGCATGGTTCAGGACTGAGCCATAGTTATCTCAAACCATTGGCAATATTTAAAACTCTTTTTTTTTTAATGGAAAATAGCATCAATAATTTGAACAGTCTGTATAAAACACTAAAAAAATTTCTCTGCTACTAACTTATGAGTTCATTATGAGGAAAATATATTGATGCAAGTATTGATGTAAGTATCATTTTTGTTTTCCTAGTTCCTAATTTCATCAGGAGCAGTGCATCAAGGGAGAGAGAACTTGATGCATCCAGCAGCTCCAGCAGACGCTCTTCCTACAGTTACATTGACTCCATATCAACTGGTGGTAAGTCTCTGACTTTAAATAAACCAAGACTTTTAACAGTGAGAAAATGTTTTTAAAAAGTATTTTGAAAGTGATTTAATTTTGCATATGCATTGGTGAGGGTTGTGAAAATATGTTGCCTCAGAAAGATCTCAGCATAAGGGATATTTTTTTAAAGAAACCTTTTATGAGCTCTGTAATATTTCTTTGGGGAATTATACTGTTAAATTGGGGATGAAATTATTAGTACTCAGTTATACCCCTCCCTCTTCCTCCGCCCTCCCTCTTCCTCATCTCATGAATCTTCTTCAGGCTGTTGTTAGGTGTTTAAGATTTTATTCACATGTAAATGATTTAATAACAAAATAGTCTCCTTAAATGATTTATCTCATTCAGTTCCACCCAGAGTGCCAGCCGGACGACCGTCCATCTCCGATGTCACTGAAACCAGCCTTGTGCTATCATGGCCGGCTGGGCGTATGCCTTCATACTTGAAGGGCCAGGTTGGAGTTGTTGTTTTTTTTCTCTCTGTAATTCTGAATATCTATCAGTAATTTAATATTTGTTCAGTGTGCTTAAAAAATGTATTTGGCCCTTAACGAGGAGCTTAAAACAACAGTAGGTTGGTTGAGTCAGGAAGACAAGGGACTAGCATTCACACAGCTGGGTTCAAACCACAGTAAAACCAAATGTTAACATCAGTCCTCCCATCACATGTGAGGTACATAAGCTTGCTATGGGGGAAAACTGGAGAGTCAAGAAAGATGAAACCTTGTACCACATTTGACAGAAATACCAAAAAACATGATTTATTAAATGTATGGTTATTCCCTATATTTCTTACCTGTTAATCTGTTCAGGTCAAGGTCAAGTACATTGTAGAGTCCAGAGAACCACCAAATCATCTGTGGAAAAAACTAGATGAAAATGTCCCAACAACCAGTTTCAAAGTTAGTGGACTACGACCTGGTCAGGATTACATGTTCAGGTCAGTCTCTAAACTGAGAATAATGGTTAGGGATAAGTTGTTATGGATATGCTGTCAGGGATACATGTCACCCACTTGAATAATTTGAATATTTTAGAGATAACTATCAATAGATCTATGTCTGATATGATTTGCCTTATTTTGATCAGAGTTCGGGCTTTTAATGAGGCAGGAATGAGTGAACCTACTCTTCCAGTGACCCTGACACGTGACAGAGAACCGGAGGTCAAACCCAGAGTTTCCCGCAGCCGAAGTTCTGTGGAGAGGTTCAGCTCAGTGGAGCGGTTTACATCACGCGAACGCTCACTCTCGACAGACAGGTCGGCATCCGTGCCCAGAGTTCTGTCCCGGGAGGGCTCTCGATTACTGGATGATGAAACCACACAAGACGCGGCGCGTAAGAAATACTGAACCGAAAAAAAACTCTTTACGTTCAATGAATCTTTTCATTGACTGATGTCTTCATTGTTTTTAATATGTCATAATTAAGTCATTTAGAATACTGTAACAATGAATTAATTTTATTGTTAAAAATTGTTAACTGGGCTGGTCTGCTATGCAAAGGAAATAAAACAATAAATGGTCCCCCTACCCCCATCCACGCAAAAAGAAACCGTAAGAAACAAAGTGAGTTGATGAGTACAAAAAATTTTAATTTAAATAAATTAATTTCATTGCTTCATAGAATGAAATTTTGTACCCTCTGTAGTGCAGGAGGTGTGTGTTACTGTACCATATAAAATAGTGCAGGAAGTATGTGTAAAAATACTGAGCACTGAATTTCTTAACCAACTTTTTTCTCTAGCTTCCCCCCCAGAGTTTGTGGAGCCATCACAGATTCAACACGGCATTGACAGCCGTCCTGTGAAGCTGTCACTACAACTCCTGGGATCTCCCCTGCCTACAGTTGACTGGTACTTCAACAACAAGAAGATCGTCTATGGGGATAAATATGATGGCTACATAACCCCCTCAGGTAGTTATACCCTCAGTCATATCCAGTGGTGTAGCTAGGGTTAGTGCTGCCATGATTTTTGCTGCCTCCCCCACAACCTCAAAAAAAAAATTATTTTAAAAAAAAACACTATGTAACTGGTCAAATCAGCTCATTTGTTTTTTTCACTTATCTTCCAGCATTGTTTTTCTCAAAGTTAAGACCTTTAGCTTTGCTATCATCACTTTTATAAACTTTGAGAATATCTATTATTTGCAACTTCTTTTAATTGCTGCTGTATATTCTGTTAAAATTTTACACAAAATAACTTCATGTAATCAGTTTCAATCTATTTCCTTGGCTGCAAGCATTTAAAATAAACAATTTTTGAAACATAACAAAATAATGTCCTCTTCCTTTTATTCAAACAAAACAGAATGAAATATTTTAGGGTGAGTTTTATTTTGTGTTTTAAAGGCACTTTTGGGTACACCGAGCCAGACTTTGACATAAGTGAGTGACATATAAATAAATAGTTGACTTCAATGTTATTTAACTTTTACATCTAGGTTTGGCTGTGCTGGAGTTTTCTCCCCTGACATGGGATGATGTTGGAGAATATAAATGTGTGGCGGAGAATGAAGTAGGTCAAAGCTCATTCACTATCCTGCTCCAACTGTCTGGTGAGTGGGCAAAGCTTTTAAAAAATATATTTTTATGAAATAGTAAGAACATTGTATAGGAAAGCATGAATTACAACAATAGACAGAGAGATTTTGTAGTGATGTGCACATATTATCATGATATGATTATGACATATTATGATTATGAAATATGATTATCCCTTTTTGAAGCAAATTATCTGGGAGAGCAAATTAAGTTTTTAACTATTCATAATTTTATACAATTGTCTTTTTTTTTTGAAAAAGAAAAGATGAAAAAAGAAAAGGTTGATGGTTGGTCCACAAATTAACTGATACTTTTTTTTTTTGTTGTACAGATCCACCCACGTTTTTAGAGCCAATCAAAGACTTGCTGGTGGAATCCAAAGGCAGCGGTCAGTTCTGGTGTAGAGTAGATGGACTCCCTAACCCAACTGTCAAGTTCCTGAAAGACTGGAAGCCTATCACAGACACTTCTAGATTTACAGTAAGTATAAGAACATTTTTTGTGTGAATAGAACAACATTTTTAAAAAAATTCTCTATTACTGGTCAAAGAGAGCTAATGTTATTAAAAGTTTAAAAATCAGATTTAAAAGTTGGATATATGCTTCACCTGGTGACTTTTTTTTTACTGGTTTAACATATGTAATCTATCACAAAGGAAACAAATTTGGTGTAAGCTGCACTTTATCCTATATAAAAACTTGATTTGTCATACTTATTTGTGAACATTAGTTTGCAAACACTTGTTTGTGAACACTTGTTTGTGAACACTGGCTTGTGAACACTTGTTTGTTTACACTTGTTTGTGAACACTTGTTTGTGAACACTTGTTTGTGAATACTTGTTTGTGAACACTTGTTTGTGAACACTTGTTTGTGAACACTTGTTTGTGAACACTTGTTTGTAAACACCTTTCTCTTTTCTCTCAGGTGTCTCAGACAGGGGACAAATGGTTACTTGAATTTACTTCTGCCAGTCCTGCAGACTCAGGTTGTTATGTCTGTGTGGCAGAAAACCCGGCAGGAAAGGTGTTTTGTACTGCTAGACTGTCTGTTGATGGTGAGGCACAATCTTTGGTATCACTAACTTTTTTATACATATGTTGTAGCCATATTCAAAGATTCTTTAAGAAAAATCGTAAACCTCTTGGTTTCAACTTTTCAAAAAATGCATGTTAAAAAAAAAACATGTCTTAGTCTGTGTTGTTACAACCTTTACACATACACAAAACTGGAACTTTTTTTTTTGTTTTTGTTTTTTGTTTGTTGCTTTTTTTGTAATGATAGTATGATATTTAGATGTTGATAATATTTTTTTAGGAGAAATTCCAGCTACCAGTGTGTACTACAAGAAATCTAACATTGAAGATGACTACTACATCCTGGATGAATTAGGAAGGTAAGCACTGGGCCATGTTTGAAATTTATTGTTGGGATCCTCTTGCCCGACCCTTTTAAATACTTCCTTATTTTTGGCCACCCTTATCTAGGGTGACAACATTACACATCATCACTCTGCACTGAGACCAAATACTGGAAGCAGAAACACCTCATAAAATAAAACTGTTCATCTTTGTTCTTGATACTGGGCAAGAATGGCATTTCAAATGGCTGACTCTTTCACTTGGCTTTCATCCGTCTGACCATCTAGAACTAACCACACTGACCTCTCTCACTCAACACCCGTCTCTGGAACTGACATCAGTTCCACTGCTGTCTCGGGAACAAAAACATCAACTCCACTGTGGTCTCTTCAAACACCTTAAACACCGACACCCCTGTTTATTGTTCTTCACATTTCATCCTATCACAAATCAACATAATAATACCACCCAGCCTCACAGTCACAGCAAGTCCCCCACAAAACATTGGTTATCATTCCCTGACAATAGCGCTTGTGTAGTCATTGGATCAATTAAGAGATGACTTAAGATGTGTTTACGTTTGCTGTAATAACTTTTACAGACCAGTAAATATGTGTGTACTAAATGGAAAAAGCAAAAAGCCAATGCCTCATTATTTATACATATATGTTGAACTCAGTGTCATGAGATAATTTCACATCATAGCATTTGATGTCCTTTTAATTTTATCCATTAAGAAATATGTTGCCCTAAATGACAAGGTCAAAAGGCATTCCCAAACTTGAACTGGTTGACTTTATTAAAGGGAATAGTGTTCAGGCAGGATTTGCCCTGTAGGCTTTTGATATTCATAATCTGAGATAATTCTGGCCTAAAGTCCTTTGGACTTGGATCTATATATATATATATATATATATATATATATATATATATATATATATATATAAGAGAGAGAGAGATAGAAAGAGCGTACTATATTTATCTTAGCTTGTATGGTATTCCAGGCAAACACTTCTGTTTCTCAGAGGAATTTGAGGAAGCTCATCCATTTATTTTACTGATTAAAATTATAAAACTAACAGACACCTCAGGACCCCAGGAATGTTTGATTTTTAAAAAGATTTATAATTTCATTCATTCACATTTCAGATTCATTCATAGATATTATTCAAATAGTTTTTTTCTCTTTTATTTTTGTGGTTTTTTTTTTTTTTTTTTTTTTTTTTTTTTTTTTTTTTTTTTTTTTTTTTTTCTTTTTTTTAATTTTTTATTTTTTTTTTTTTTTTTTTTTTTTTTTTTTTTTTTTTTTTTTTTTTTTTTTTTTTTTTTTTTTTTTTTTTTTTTTTTTTTTTTTTTTTTTTTTTTTTTTTTTTTTTTTTTTGTGATTGATAGTCTAATATACCTTAAGTAAAATTTTACACAAACAAAGATTTATTTGAAACTGACTCTTGAATTTTTGGAAGATGTTATTATGATACTTTAATTTTCATAATTTTTGGTGTGAGGAAACTCAAACAAATTAATAATTTTGGAACATGTTACTAATAAATAACTGTGTTCGGCTGATGTTTGCCATTGGTTCAGCATTTGGTTTAACTCAACATTAGTGAATATTTTTTTCATGAAAGATATCTTTTATCCATTCAATATCCCAGAGGTCGTCACAGCATTGTACGCCGCGTCATTGAGAAGTCAAGTGGGGAAGAATTTGCTGCTAAATTTACTTTTGTCCGTGGAGAGAGTGATAAAGATTTCTTCCGCCAAGAGCTGGATGCCCTGCTGAGGCAGAAAGGGGAAAATGTTGTTCAACTCCATGATGCATATGAAACTCAACGGCAGCTTATTATAGTTGAGGAAATGTATCCTTACATTCTGACCTATGTGTCATTTGGAAGCCAGCCTTTAAAATTAAATGTAAGAGATGCACTTATTTTATGATGTCAAGCACTCATCAGCCAAATTATATTGGCAGAGTCTGAAAAGTATTACATACAATTTTTCTGGACAAAGTTGAGTAAGAGAAATGAGATAAAATTGTTAATATTCACATAAAAGTTAAGCTGTAATGTCAAAAGTAAAACAAGTACCGTATTTTACGGACTATAAGACGTTACGAACTAAAAGACGCACCTTAATTTTTAAGCAAATTTTTTAAAAAAAATTTACCTTTTTTTTTTTTATTAATTTCGAGTATAAGACACACCTGAATTTCGGAGGCAGTTTTTCAAAGAAAAAAGTGTGTCATGTAGTCCGTAAAATACGGTATTTATATTTAATCTAACATAAAATATTTATTATTATAAAAAACAGAGATTTCTTTTCCTAAAAATAACTGGTGTCTATAAAACGAACTGTATTTGTTTAAAAATTTTCAAATGAGACGGAATTGTCTTAACTTTAATAAGAGTAAAAGGGGGCAACTTACTGGACCTAGCATCTGAGGATGACAGCTGGACAGAGGACAAGGTGGCGAGGATAATACGATCACTGCTCCAGGCTCTAAAAGATGTCCACAAGACAAATGTCATTCACCTGGACATTGAGGTAGAAATTCAGATGTATTTGATGTCAGCAGAGTTAAACATTGCTAGTTTATTATTTCATACAGTTTAAAAGCTCACTCTTTAATCGTGGCTTTATTGACATTTTGTATGCATCACTATTTTCTATTCTATAAATTATATAAGTCAGGAGAGAAGCAGTACTATTTGTTGTGTGGTGATAACGGCTTCTATTCAAAGACTTTGGAATTAAAATTTAAATAAAATTAAGATTAATTTCTTTTTTTTTTAAAATAATAATTTATTTTCAATTCAGCCAACAAATCTGAGGTTTAAAACACCTGGCTATGAAGATTTGCGCCTGATTGACTTTGGGTTTGCCAGGAAGGTTCCACTGACAAGTGATATTTACTTCAACTATGGAACGCCAGAGTTTTGCTCCCCTGAGGCGGTTGACAATGAACCTGTGACTTCCGCTTCTGACATCTGGGCAGTGGGTGTCATAACTCATTTACTGTAAGCTCTCAAATTTCATAACTCATATATTTTAAGCCCTAAAATGGTGTCTTATTTAAATTTATTTTATATACATTTAACGATCATACACTCATATGACTCATGACATTGCTAATGCTTTGGCACATAACTCATTTACTTATCTTCAGTTTTTTTTTAATTCAAAGGATAAAACCCCAAAATACTAATTATGTCTGGGTTTTTCCAACCATTTTTAAAAATTATTTCTGATTTCAGCCTGACTGGCATGACACCATTCATTGGTGACTCTGTGTCTGATGTTTTAGCTCAGATTCAAACCTGCCAGTTAAGCCTTGATGGCTCTCTCTTCTCAGAGTTTACACCAAGTGCTGCAGACTTTATCTCCAGGATTTTGGTCAGGGATGCAAAGTAAGATCTCAGCATGTTACCAATAATAACCTGTGTGCTTCAAACTTTGGTTGAGAGTGAATTATTTTAAAGCATCATACTTGGTAACACGAGACTGTGTTGATATTAGTTAATATAAATACAGCAACGTTAGATTTCATCTTATTTTATAGGATCTGGGAGGACCTTTGAAATCTATTTTTAGACTGCACAAAAATTACATACGATTTTAAGAGCCCTGTTTGGTTCCAACACCCCTCCTCTTCCTTTTCCGCCATTTACAGCTTGTGGTAGTAATGAGACTGAGATAGTATATATATATGACTGTCGCTTATTGTTGTGCGTATTGAGTGAACTTTGTGACCTCTTTGGCCTGTTTTGTTGTCATGGTGTATGACTGGACATGGTGAGTTGTTTTCATGAATCTTTAAACTTAAAGGTGTGAATATTGGTTGGAGAAATATTACACACACCACAGACAAGTTCGGATCATATTTTCCTGTTACAAAGACTATTATGTGTTGATTGGAAATAAAACAGGTTACAAAGACTATTATGTGTTAATTGGAAATAAAACAGGTTACAAAGACTATTATGTGTTAATTGGAAATAAAACAGGTTACAAAGACTATTATGTGTTAATTGGAAATAAAACAGGTTACAAAGACTATTATGTGTTAATTGGAAATAAAACAGGTTACAAAGACTATTATGTGTTAATTGGAAATAAAACAGGTTACTAGGCAAAATGGCTAATGATGTTTATTTTTTCCAAATCAGCTTTTTACACAAAAAGTCATTTTCTCAAGTCACTTGGTAGACTTTGTAAATGAGGTCCTCATTTGTAAATTAATTCTTATTTCAATAAATTTTATTTTATGCTGAACGCCAGAAACTTTATTTTGACCAGTGACAGTCTGTGATAATGTGATCTGCACGTACACCAAAATATAACTGATATCTGCAGAAAAAAGCACCTGGAGATTGCTATGTAAATGTCAGTCATCCACTTTTGGAAGTGACCTTTTTTTACATGAGCTTAACTTGATGAGGGACGAGAGTAGTTATTGTTTAAATAATACTGTATGCTTATTTATTTACTGTTAAGATAATGTTTTGCACGATTTTAAGACATTATTGTATGATTTAGGGAGTTCGAGTGTAACCAGGTCTGAAATATTAATTAGCCTAAGTTACTTCATTAATAATGGATTTTTAATGATTGCGAATTTTTTCATTTAGTCATTAAAAATGTATGGATTAAAAGAAAATCCTCTCTTTAAAAAGTGATGTTAGTAGTAGACATATGGTATTCATTAAAAATGGAAACACATCCTTATGATGAAGACTTTTTCTTTAATGTGTGAACAGGAATTTCATCTACATTTTAAGAATTAGAATAAACTTCTCTACCTTCTTCTTATTTTATCCTCAATTCAGGACTCGTCCATCACTGGATGCCTGTCTGGCCCACGACTGGCTAAAAGTCGCTGACAAAAAAGATTCAAAGAAAATTGATAACAGTCGCCTGAAACCATTCCGGGAGAGGACATTAGCTACAGTAAGTTTCTGGAGTTAGAATGAATAGAAAATTGTGATAAATTATGTCTCCTGTACACTGACACCTTTATAGGGGTCAAATGGAAAAAATCATTTTGTGTTCATAAAGAGATCCTATACTAATCAGTTATAAAATATATAATCCATCACATATCTGCCATAAATATTAAATACATCCAAATCGGTTCTTTAAATTAAGGATGTGCTAAGGCAACTATCCTCAGGTTTATCTTTGACAATTATGCATATTTTGTTATTACCAGCAAAACTCCAATGCAGTTAAAACCATTGCCAATTTGAAGAGCCTGAAGCGTTTGCTGGAAGGACCATTCCAACTTCAAGGGCTGCAGCCTACAACTGATCCACAGACAGGGGAGATCATCTTGCCAGATTCTGAGAGCTACGGTCAGTACCTGGATGAGGAGTCCTGGTTTGACTGGCAGTTTAGACACCAACAAGGGCCCGATGCTGACCAGGCTCTGGCTAAGAGTCAAGTACAAAAAACAAGAACAATTAAAATTCCTGCGGTCAGTGACCAGTCAGCTAAAGATGAAGATTCACAAGACAAGGGCAGGTAAGATTCATTAGCTATTAGTACAAACATTGCCTTTAATTGGTAGAATAGATAACCATTATAGCATCTAAATTATTTTAAAAAAAAAATTATTTAAATGTTTAAAAAAATATGTGACCATCTCGTTCAGCATTATATAACAATAATGTATAGGAACTTATGTTCATACATTTAAAACACAAGGAATAAGAAAAGTGAACAATAATATCTCTACAGATATCTGATAAAACATGTCAGATGATGGAAACAATGCTTAAAGAATGTCAAGAGAAAATAAGTTATCTCTGTGCACAGTTTAAAATAGCTTTTTAGTATTTATCGGAGTTAGGCCTATAAGACTTTATCTCATTAACTCTGTCATGCAGAGTTTCAAAAATTGAATGTTTATATTTTTAACAATGGGATACAGAAATGAATTTTCCATAAATAATCATGTGTTTAATCGTGTGTTTAATCATCAGGGTCTTGGAACTAGAGAGAGGAGAAATACCCCCACCCATTGAGAAGGAGCTGGAGTGGTTGGAGGGAGCTGGAGAAAGGAAAGAGTCCCAGGAGCCTGATGAGGTCAGCCTGGCTTCAAAGAGGTCATCAGTAGCCTCCATCTCACCAGAAGGTCAGTCCAGCATTCGGAACCAGGTGGTCGTTTACCGCTTGTATTCTGTGGCCATTTTGTGAGATGTAGCTATCTCATCATGTGTGCCACGGCACAGCTGTAGTTACCATCATGGTAAACAGTGTATAAGTTGCTTACTGGGTCTGTTTGACAAAAATTTTAGTCCTCAAGAAAAAACATGTTCAAGGAAAAAAATAGTGAGACGAGTTTTTAGGATAAAAACAGAATAAAGAATATATTTTAAATGCCTCACAGTGTGTGTGCAGACTATAGCAGAAATCTGTAAAAATGCATCAGATAATTTACAGAATAGAAAATTTATGTCAAACAGTACCAATATTCTCATATAGTATGATTATATATTCAAGCTGTTGGCTTTCTTTTTGTGTGTTGAATCCTCCAATCCTTAACTCACCAGGTCCCATGTTTGCTGAGAAGCTCCATGACCTGGCATTCAGTGTTAATGACACAGTGATACTGCGGTGTAAACTTGTGGGGGCCCATGCCCCAACCGTGGTGTGGTACAGAAATGAGGAACTTTTAACCGATGGGAACAGACTGGAGGTAAATCACTGCGGACAGTTTTACTGACCTTTTGTTTGTTGCTGTAACATCTCAATGTCATTGGAACAATCGGTCCCAGGTCTCCATAGGAATTGTTGAATAGCCTAAACAATAAAAAGAAAATTCAACAGTCATAAATTATGTTCCACAACCTGTATAAAATAATTTTGATATTTTATTTAATACTGGGTGGGGTACAAATGGAATCATTGCATGGTCTTTAGTCTTAGTTCAGTAAATGGTTTTCTCAACAAATTTTCCACAAAACTAGATTCTCATTGGCTGAGAGCTCATCCAACTTTATTGCTGATTGCAGACCTGTTTACCCACAAAGTCTTAAAATCGTAAAATATCATCACAAAATCGTTCAATACATTATCTTAATTTTAAAAATAAAAAACATAAAGTATATATAATGTATGCACCTCAAAATCGTAGATTGTACGCCAAAATCGTAAGAGTAGACAGGTCTGTGATTGTCTGAAATTCCACCAATGCCTTCACTTCTTTGCTCCTTCATAGTAAGTTAGCATAAGAATAAATCCATAGAGTGTACACAATGTCATAACCTTGGATGCTCCTCCGTCTTTCACAGGTTCATCTTGCCGATGACGGGGAAGCCAGCCTCACAATAAAAAATGCCAAACCTTACGATGCGGGTGTTTACAAGTGTGTGGGTAGGACCAAATATGGGCGTGTGTCCAACAAGATGAGACTGGAGCTTGGAGGTGTGTGCAGAGTTTGGGTATTGTTTCAGCTACAACATTACACGCTTTTCATTGGTTGACGTTTGGCTGTGAGCATTGTCACAGATATAAATATGGGAATCACTAATGGGAGACAAGTTTTATGCTTAATATTTCTTGTATAATGCAAAGAGTTTTGGGACTGGAGAGGAACTGAACAATCTGAGTCAATGATGGAATAATGATACAAGGAGAGAAGAGAATAGTAATTTAGTCAGACTGGTGGATTTTGTAACAGGATTTTGTTTAATACATCATCAAGTAAAAGAAGATTGTTATGTGGAAGTGCAATAGGAATTGAAATTTGTGTTATATAATTCCAAGTATCTTGATAATTTTGTGAAATGTATTTATTATTGTGAATGTCGATATTAAAATCAGTCACTGTTTGAACCACGTCATCTTGGGTATTATTTACTATGTTCACCATTATGTGACATGGTTTCGATTTTATGGTGGCAGCGGTGGTATTTGAACAAACATACATGGCAACCTGCGAGATCAAAAGCTGTTCAACAGCATGGAATAAAGCATTCTCCCAATGCAATGTTAAAGCTTGTTTCAGTGAAGCTCACTGCCTCATCGGCTTTGTCAGCATTGAAAAAATTATTGCAATCCTAAATGTACTCTCATCCCCCAGATGTTCCTGGGCGACCTGGTCGGCCAGTGGTCAGTCAAGTGTCAGGCACAGAGGCACTGGTCCTCTGGGAGGCACCAGCTTTAGCTGGTCACTCAGACATACTATTTTACAAGGTGGACTACAGACAACAAGGTAACCAAATGTTACATAATCACTCAGAAAAATTCCTGTCTCTGTAATTAGAATGTACTGAATCCACTAATCATTTATTACAAATTTTACTTCTTCAACTGATTAGGACAGTTGATTCATGATATTATTTTTCTGCCCAAAAAAGCCAAAAAAAACATGTAAATTTAGATATGTACAGAAAAGTTACGCTGTGCTCTTCATGTTTGTTGTTCTAATTGACCACGAAGACATTCATGCCTGGTCCATTGATGCTGATTTCTTGTTCTGTTGGCAGATAAGGACAGGTGGACATCAGGGACATACACCAGTCTGGAGGCGGCCATTGTATCAAATCTCCTGCCAGAAACAAGATACCGGTTCAGAGTATCTGCCACCAACAGATTCGGCACTGGTCACTACAGCTGGGCGTCTGTGGAGATACAGACAAAGCTCAAAGGTTTGAATGAAGATATGTTAAAGTAGAAATAAAACATTTCAATTTTTAATGAGCTATTTTATTTTAACCAGCCAAGGCAGAAATAAAACAATGATTGATCCTGGAAAGATTTTTTTTAAAGAACCCTTGTAAACAAAATAAAAGCAATCTGTTCATTAAGTCGAGAAAATAACCAAAACAAATTATGAAAATTGTTTCAGGGGACAGCGAAGGCAATTGTCTAAAAGCTTTTCTTTAATGTAAAGAGAACTTGATCATTTTTTTGCAGGACATTGGCATTTTTATTAATTACCCTTTTTTTTTTTTTTTAATCTTTCCCATCCCCCAAGCCAAATTGATTTTTTTTTTTCGATCCACACCCGACAGAGACATACATTTTTTAACTTTAATGTAAAGAGAACTTGATCATTTTTTTGCAGGACATTGGCATTTTTATTAATTACCCTTTTTTTTTTTTTTTCATCTTCCCCATCCCCCAAGCCAAATTGATATTTTTTTTCAGATCCACACCTGACAGAGACATACATTTTTTAAGCTGCCACATAGATTTTTACTTTTTGCATTTGAGATACTGTTTGGCCGTGGTTACAAACCTGTGCTACTAGCACTTCTCAGGGGCTCCCCGGCCGCACCAAGAAATTCTTAAACAGTGTTAACTTGTAAGACATTGGTTGGGGCTAAGGGACTCCCCCATTGAAAATGATTCTGAAAAAGGCTCTGCAAGTCCAAAAGGTTGGGAACCACTGGTGTATCAGGATGATGAAAAAATCCTATTTTGATCCCAAACCAAATTGGCTGCTGTTAACTCTCCTCAGTTTGCTGAAATTGTTTACCTATGTTTTTTAACAACACCAATAAAAACTGACTTGTGACATATCATTCAGAATTGATATAATGTTGCTCATACTTCTGTCAACTTAAACAATATTTTGTCATATTAATCTGTAATTATTACATGCATTATCTGCTCTTTGTTTATCAGAAGCTTTGCCCATAACCTCGGATGAATTTTTCGATGTGACAAAACTGCGCGCCGTGCAAGTCACGACCACACCCATCCCACCGCCCGAGACCGAACCTCCAACGCAAGAGGAAACCAAGCCTGTCGTTCAAACAACTAATCCTGATTCCGTGTACAATATTGGTGAACTCCTGTACAAGTGAGTTGATATGGATGAGCCCATTTTTTAAAATATTTTTAAAAATAACTTAAGCATGTTGTGTTTTGCCTTCATATTTAAACATTCATGCTCCTATTTTCCTTTTATTATTTTTTTTGTACAATTTACATTTTTCTTTTTCCGTCCTTCCTATTTACACCTTTCCTGGTGAAATTCCCCTATCTAAATTTTCCTACTTACAACTTATATACTGTTGTATTTTAAAATCTGTTTAATTTTTTTCCACATTTAATTATTTCTGTTCCAGAGGCAAGTTTTATGAAGAGAAGAGACTGACCCTGCCATCTGATGGGGACAAGCCTTTCATCCTGAGGACAGTTCCGCAAAAATCTGGCCTGGAGGAGTTTGAGTTGCTGAAGTCAATACGACACGAACGTCTGGTGAACCTGCACTCAGCATTCAATGTCGGGGAGGTTATCCATCTCGTCTTGGAGCATACAGAGGGTGAGCACATTGCCCGCCACTTGTCACAGAGAAGAAAGTACACAGAGGACAGCGCTGCTTCTGTCATCAGACAGGTAACTGTCACTGTTCTGTATTGTCTGACATGTTATATCAACTGACGCAATCTCAGAAACCCTTCTATTAAAAAAACAAACATTTCACATCATCCTTTATAATGACAGTCAACTTACCACTTATCTTCTTCTTCTTCTATATCTTAAGGGCCCACGATCAATTTATTGATCATTTTGGCTCCTATGCATGTAGATGGGATTTGCAATGTTTCTGTGCCTGGTTTTGATGAGGAAATTTCACTGATTTCCAGTGCCACTTTGTAAGGGAATCATGCACTAGGGGTTTGAAGGCTTGAGGCAATAGACACAAATGTGTCTAGTGTTGTCGCCTCAACCATTCCTTTATGACAAACAACATTGCATTACTACAATAAGAATATTCACTGGTTACTACATGTTTGGTTAGAAGCTCAAGTTTGCTTTCCCTAATGAAATCTTTGTATGATTATTTGACACTCTATTCAATAGTTTGTCCAATCTTGTCTTTCAGGTGCTGTACGGCCTTGAGTTCCTGCAGAGATCAAACATTGTCCACCTGAACCTCCAACCTGCCTCCATTGTTGTTTCCAAACGAGAAGGCTGTGAGATCAAACTGACAGATTTCTCGCTGGCCAGGAAGTTGTCAGCACCAGTGGGTGAAGTTGTTCCAAGACAGGGGTTCCCTGACTTCATCCGTGAGTACTGAACCATACCACCTTGTGATTGGATGTGCCGGTGTGAAGAGAAACTTTGCGGCTTATAAGTTTATAAAGCAGTGGCAGTCTTTTCCTTATGATTTCTTAGACTGGTGAAGATCTGTAAACACATGGTAGACTACAGCTGGGTTTTGTTTTATTTAGGACTGAAAGAAATGCCCTGTGACTTTATTTATGGCTTTCAAAAACTTCATTCCAATGATGCCAATTTCATTATGGAACCATATGGCATGATTTCAGTTAGTCTATGAGATAAAAAAAACAAAAAATAATGAAGAAAGGAAAATATTTACTGAATTCAAAGCAGAGTATTTAATGTTTTGTCAGTATGCCTTCTTCAGCAGACAAAATAAATAACAACATTATGATACATATTTTGAAAAAAAATACTCTATCCCTGCAAGATGTTGAATAAAAAAAAAGATAGAAGTAAACAAAAATAAGGAATGGAAACGAATGTTAGAAAAAGAAGTGATTCTGAATAAAAGTAACCATGGAAACATTCATTGTTATGTTTTTTGCCTTCATTGAAGCATCATGCCACCTCCTTAAACTTATAAAATCTTCTTGATCTTTACTACTGTCTGCTATTATCAAATGGATTAATTTGAACAAGTGGCACTGCCAGATAATTTTAGCCATTTGCCTGCCTTATTCCAACCTTATCCCAACCTTGCTTTGGGCTTTTAGAATGAATTGCTGACGAAGTATAGACTTATTCCCATCATTTGTTGTATTTTTCAGCTCCCGAGGTTGTTGTTCAGGACTTAGCTGGATTCTCTGCCGATGTTTGGGGTGTTGGTGCCAACACATTCTTGCTGTAAGTAAATTATCAGGAGTTATCTGGAGAAATCTTTTTAGACTATATCTGTATAAACTCTTCTGTCTGTAATGGAATGATTCTAGTAGACGTCATATTCTTTTAATATATTTGTGTATTTTATCAATACGACTTTTCTGATTTTTGTAAATATAAACCACCCGATTAATGTTTGCTTATTCCTGATCAACTGTTTAATCCTGATGATATATTTTTTACCCTGATAAACCATTCATACATTGTAAGTTGTTTAATCCACGTACATCAAGTTCTGTTACATAGCTATGTTTCATCCCTTCAGTCTGAGCGGTGTTTCGACCTTCCATGGTGACAGCCCTGTGTCCACACTGGTCAACATTGCCCTCAACCGTTACGATGCGGCAGATTTGTATGAGAATGTAACCACAGAGGCTCTCAGATTCTTGTACAAGGTCCTCAAAAGAATTCCTAGGTAATATTGTTGGGATCAAAAAGAATATTCCCTTTTTGTTACAGATATTTTTTTTTTAAATTTAATTATTTGGAAAATGAAAACTGGGACCGTAGAGTTATAATGATGAGGCTTGACATTTTTTATGCACAGCCAGTGTCATGGATGTTTCTCTGAACCGGAAAAATTATTTTAGACACAAGAGTCATTCAATTTAGCTAAAGGTCTGGAAGGATTTAAGACCGTCCCCATGGCACCATGAAAGGAAGTTAAATCATTGTTTTAAGCTAGATAATCTGTCAATCAAGTTATTTTTTCTATCTCTTAAATGACGAAATGTTGTTTTTTTTCTTCTTTCAAATTAGATTTTACACTAAATTACAAAACTTAACTATAAGATGGCAAAAATTTGACCTTTGTTTTGGTTGGATTCATTCTGTCAAACACCGCAGTCATGAGGAGACAAAGATATCTTATAGGCTGCTTTTCTGCTCTCCAGTTTCAAGAAACACATTTTTTTTAAGATGATTGTTTCTCCTCCTAAAAAAATAAACTTTTTTTTTTTTCTTTCACATTTCTTTTAAAAATAAAATAACCCCAAAAATTATTTCAGAATCTATTTCAAATTAAATTATGCTGCTGAAAAAAAATAAATACTTTTGTATTTAATTTAAATCGTAATGAAGTAACATAATGTCTACTAAGCATTATTTACTTTGTTGCACTTATTTTTATGTCATTTAACTGTGCATGGGTTTTTATTTTCTTAACCACATAGCAACCGCTTGACCCTCCAAGAGTGCCTTGACCACAAGTGGTTACAACTGACAGACAAGCACATCAAGGAGCGAGAAAACACCATCTTCCTGACCAACAAACTGGCGAAATTTGTGCAGGAATACGACTCAACAAGGCAAGGAGACAGTTTTACACAGAATTTTGAAAGCCTAGTTCTCCCCATCCAGATGTCTAAGAGAATTTTGTCTTAGGCATTGACACATAGGGGAGGTAATGCTGACAAGGGGAGACAATTTTTCGTTGTGAGGTAAATGACAGAGTTTTTGGATTTCAGATGTGTAAAAAGGGTACCCGCTGAGAATGTTTATATATATTGCATAGAATGTATAAGTAATTAAGCATGAATTCTGGGTAATTTATTTTCTCTTATTTGTTCATGGATATTTTAATAGTCCAGATGATGAGTCACTGGCAGGTACAAGAAAAAAACTACTGATTAAATTGTTCATGACCCGATTTGGGATCATGTCACATGGTGAGTGTCAGCATATGATGATGTTACAATCTGAGTTGTAATAAAACATGATATATGTACTTGATGTGCAATAATATACTTAATCTTGTATTTTTTTCAATACTTTATTTTTGTGATATTTTCTCTCTTTTTTAAACAAATTTATGTTACAAAATACACTTGACCTTTCAACTTTCTTTTGAATTTTAATTATTTGCTATTAGTTCTTTTATTCTGCAATGACAGTTGCATATTTTTTCATGCATGAATAATAAAAATGATGACTAAGATTATTAGATGGTAACTTATCATGAAAATGAAAGCAGAAATATCAATATTACACATTGTTTACTATTAATAAACAAAAAATTTCTTGGAGTTGCAAAGTTTAAATTAATGCCATAACTCTTTCAAAATAATATACATTTTTTTATCTGGATTCATATCTTCTTTTTTTGTTGTTGTTGTAATATTAGCTTTTATGATGTTTGCCATTATCTGTAAAATCAAGAATGGCTTTCTACTTGCCCTTTAGAATTCCAGGTAATTGTTTTAAGTGGCATTATCTGAAGATTTATTTTTAAATAATGAGTATGTTATAGTATAGCTGAAGTTGTCACATGTTTTATATAAAAAGTTAAAATATAATTCTAATTTATTTGGTATAATTTATTTAAATGTAACTAAGTATTTCTACTGAATGCCAGGATTATTGATTTTTGTCAAAGAAATTGTTTTAAAAACGTTTAATTTTATACCGATGTTAATTACTCCCAGCAGTTAAGTTTTGACCTGTGTGAGACCATTGAAATATAGGAAATACATTTTAGATAAGTCTTTCCCTGGGAGTGAAATCTTGTTCCCAACCAAAGATATTTTTTGTTTAGCTGTAACTGATTTTGAACACAATATTTTGTTTTAAAAACCTTGTAATATGATTTTTTTAAATCGTATTTGACCACTTTCTCCTTTAGTACTCCATGCATCTTGCCGTGTTAGCTGATACATTGAAATAAAGTTGTAAGAGGTTGTAGAACAACTCCTTTGTTGCCATTTGTTTACCAGTGGTGGTCATTTTGCAAACACAAATACACAGTCAAGGTCAGTGCTGAGGCCAATAAGAAAAGTAAAGCTGAAGAGAAATAAAGCTTATGACACTGAAAACAGGATATATAGATTAAAATAAATAATTAAATGCATTGAACTAGTTCAATAAAGCGATTCCAGGCCACCTGCCAAAAGTCTCAGTCCCAATAAGTCTTGTTTTATCAGGAAATCTTAACATTGGTGTTAACAAATATTATTAGTCACCTTTTGGCTAATGGCATATTAAAAACTTTAATTGATCTTTTATAAAGCTAGTAATTAATTTTCATGCAGGCAGACAAATATAAAGACAATTTCTTCCAGATTTTTTGCAATTTAATTTTAAAGTTTTGCTTTTTTTTTTTTTTTAAATAAAAATTTGTAATTTAATTTTTATAAAGTCAAATAATTTTAACAAAGGAAGAAAGCGATCATTGAATAAATACATTATTTACACATTTAAATGAAAAAAAAGATAAATATAAAAGCTAGTAATTAATTTTCATGCAGGCAGACAAATATAAAGACAATTTCTTCCAGATTTTTTGCAATTTAATTTTAAAGTTTTGCTTTTTTTTTTTTTTAAATAAAAATTTGTAATTTAATTTTTATAAAGTCAAATAATTTTAACAAAGGAAGAAAGCGATCATTGAATAAATACATTATTTACACATTTAAATGAAACAAAAGATAAATATTTATATATATATATATTTATTTAATTTTAATAAATTAGTTATGTATTATTTTAAACTATTACTTTTGTAGTGGTTGAGGCGACAATACAAAAATTCTATTAAATATTAAACAGGATAAATCTTTTTCCACCATCTCAAAATTTTCCTTTATAATATAATAAAGTTTAAAAAAAATTATTTATCCTAAAATGGCAAAAATTTAACAGAGGATTTCATGAGAAAGTTTTCAAACTTCACAAACAGACTGTGAATTTAAAAATTACATTACTCTAACTCTAAGCATTAATTTGTTTGCTTTTAATTTTTAAAGTATCCTAGGAATATTGATAGAAAATTAATTGTATCATAGAAAATAAAATTTTAAGTTCTGCAATCAAAGTCTTAATTAAGTTTAAATATATCAAAAATCTTACACTGGATCAGATCCAGTCCCCCAATGTTGTAAACATTGCATCAACATGTTAAAAAAATAGATTGCCATAAAAATATTTCATTTATGCATAACAAATAATTGCATAACTTTATCAAAAATATTTTTAACATGTATTTCAAATTAAGAAGTTTTTTTAAACTAATAACAGTCATATTTGTCACAGCAAAAAAAACGAACTTCATAATTCTTACTTATTACTTGTCCTTTTTTTAAATAATACTTAGACACTCCTTAAAAAGGGTACAATATATAAATACAGATGTTATTTTACAATTATATAATTACTTTCCTCTGAAGGATACTTTAAACTTAATTGACTTTTTTAAAACCTTGTCGCTTCCAAGACAGTAAAATATTATTTTCGATAAAAAAAAGAATTTACCTTGTGCAAGCAGTTTAGCATCGGCTAAGGTTAAATAAATAAATGCATACTTGAGTCATAAAATAATAAGCAGAGAAAATATTTCCATTGAAAGAGTATTTACATCACGGAATTCCTATACTATATAGGGGAGCTGCGTCACATGTGGCCTGACAGGCCATTTACTTTAACTCTCCACCAATCCATGAGCCTTACTTTGCCAGTCTGCACAACATGATTATTTTTGGTCAGATAAAAATAAAATATCAATAAATCTTGCATCAGTCCTGGTGCAACTTCAAAACTTGTCGACTGGTCAACCAAACTTATAATTTTGGGAATCGCTGCCCTGACCCATGCAAAACTTTGCACAAATATTTAAGAGTCATAACTTATAAAAACTCCCCCTATTTTAAATCATAAGTATTTTTAGATACAGAAGCGTAGCTGTTTTCCCACTGTCTTTTTTTCAGTTATAGAAAAATAATATGCATGACTTTTTATTCAAGACTACATCAAATGTGGAAAGAATTTTAGGGAGTGCCTTGAATTCAGTACCGGTAAGTAGGTTTTGCAAATCACAACCATGAATGTGGCCCTTTAGTCCTCCAGAAGATAGGAACCCCTGATTTACAGACATCTCTTAGACCCACTACTTTCAGTCTGTAATACAGTTCTAGCTTTGTCATCTCAGCTATGTACAACAGTGCATTAAGTACTATTGTTTTAAAAATTTCTAATAAAACATCACAGTCTCCTAAATAAAATGATAACTTTGAAACTTTGCTTAACATTGGATGGAGTGCATGTTAGTCACATATTTATGTAAGAAGAGAACAAATTATATAAATAACTTTGCCTTTTTTTAAAACAAAAATACATCCTAAACCAAAATCTCTGTTATAACATCTCCAACTGTTCTAAATCCCCTACAGCTGACCTCAGGATTACTCAATACTAATAGAAGCTGAGCAACGGATTGCATTTTACAATAATGAAATAACCTCTAAACCTGAAATATAAAAATGACAGTGAAAGCATTTTTAGAAGTGGAAAAAAATGTATGTAGTTTAAAATATGGATCAGCCATAAAACATGGAATGTATTTTAAAAGATTTAAATAATGCCGGTTAATTTATTTTTTTGACATTAATTCAATTTATTAATTTTATAACAAAATACTTTGTGTTTTCTGATTTCCGTTAGCAGCATTGGGTACAATTTTATTTTTTATTGTAATGAGCAATACCATGGGTGTGAACCGTGGAAATTTTAACCTAAAGACATGTGCAGTCTAATCAGATGTTTTAGATACGGTGAGATAAGTCCTTAAAAGGACACTTTACAAGAACAGAAATTATCTCCATGTGAGGTTTAAACCATTAACAAAAGCTGCAATTGAAGATAAGCTAAAAATGATAAGGTATTCTCGAATGAAAAATAAAAAAAGCTGTATTTGAACAGTGGTTTAAAAAATTCTGATAAATGTAAAAGTTCCATCATGAGGCTTCTAATCAATGAGAAATCTATACAATCTAAATACGTTAAAAAAATGACTATATTCACAGAAAACGAGCATCTCATAAACACACCTACACACATACACAGGAAGACACTCCACCACACTTCATATGTACCACTTTTTATGAACTGACATCAGCATTATAAAATTCTACAGTTGTTTATATATTTGACATATTAAATACAAATAAAGAGAGAAATACTCTTTTCGACAATTATTTGTTACAACATTAACTTTAAAAAACAATTTATTTTTAGCGGAATAAATTATTTATAAAACATCAGGATGGAATGTTAGAAATTTTCATTGAACAAAAATATGACAAGGTAATCAATGTATGCCTGTCATCTTTGATTAAATTGTTTGAAACCTAATCCTCCCACCAATGTCCAACTAATGAGTCAAGAGTTTTAAAAACATGAATCATGCCAAGAGTAATTCTCCTGTAATCCATCCCCACCCCCGGCCGCGCCAAAACAAAACTAAACTTTTATCTTTTTTTAATTTGTTAGTCCCTTTACCTTATATAGGCGCCTTTAACGATCTATAATTTTTATCTGAAAGTAAATGATGTTCCTCAATCAAATCTCTTATATGGAATAAAAATGAAGTTTTTGAAGTTATTTAAATGTAATTTATTTTTAGATAGCTTTGGGTACATATAAATATATTATTAATTGAAATAGCTATGCTGGATTTTTAAAACGTTATTTTCATAATAACATTAACATATAATTATTATTGTAATTTGTAAAGATTCAAGGAGACATAATATGAATTTTGTTTTACTGTACAAACTGATGAAGCATGTTGCCTTTCATATGGAAGATTGGAAAAAATAACGTTTTTTTTTTTGTTTTTTTTGGAGGGTGATTTTTTGTTTAAATTTCAGATCACACAAAGAACGAATTATAATCCTAATCATGTACGAGTTACTGCTAAGAGAAGGCGCCAGAATGGTCAGTTGTTGCAGGTAAAAATGGTCAGTTGTTGAAGGTTAGTCCAATGAGTTAGGACGTCATTTCACCGTCATAGGCCTTGTTTTTGTGACCTTTGGAGATCTCACTGCAAGTGAAGGAAATCACCCATTTAGTTTTATGCAATTTCAGACATAGAATTTAGGATAGTGCTTGCCCATATTTAGGATAGTGCTTGCCCATATTTAGGATAGTGCTTGCCCATATTTAGGATAGTGCTTGCCCATATTATCCTATCACGAACGGGTATAAATCCTATCACGAACCCCATATTTAGGATAGTGCTTGCCCATATTTAGGATAGTGCTTGCCCATATTTAGGATAGTGCTTGCCCATATTTAGGATAGTGCTTGCCCGTATTTAGGATAGTGCTTGCCCATATTTAGGATAGTGCTTGCCCGTATTTAGGATAGTGCTTGCCCGTATTTAGGATAGTGCTTGCCCGTATTTAGGATAGTGCTTGTCCATTATGAGAATGAGAGAGCGAAAAAAAATTTGTTTTAGATGAAAATTCATACAAGGCTGCATTCATTCATTTCAATACTTCTCTCAAGACAATAAAATATAATGAGTAAATAGAATTTAGGATAGGATTGTACTAGCCTGATTGCAGTCTCTCCCCTTATTACCCCTCTCAAGACAATAACTGCCTATTTAATAATAATAAGAAGAAGAAGAAGAAGTCTTATATAGCGCGGTACCCCATAACATTTTTTATCAAAAGAGACATAATCATGACATTAAAATAAAATACATTTATGAAATAATGTACAGCAATGTATATTCACCCACCCCACCACATAACTTTTACAAGGCAAACCATGGACGGCAGCCAGCAAGATATTTACACAATATTATGTTTAATAAAAGAATTGAGAGCAATTTTATAAAACTCTCATACATATAGTGTGAGATTACAAAAATACTTCTGTGAATTTGACAGAATAAAATTTGAAGGAGGCTTACACTTACATCCTTGATATATTTTACTTACCTTCTGATGACATTTCAATGCTTCATTTGTAGGCCACAAAAACGTCAACTTTAAATCCTTAAACTTAAAGACCAGTGTTGTTGTTTTGTTCTTTTTAAATTTTAATGGTACCCATCACAAGCAAAATATTTTCTCATCATCAGTGGACGCCGACCCCCCCCCCCCCATATTAAAAAACGTACTCACTATCCCGATCCCTTGCCCCGCTGTGTGACACAAAAAATGATGATAAAAACGTCAACTTTAAATTCTTAAACTTAAAGACCAGTGTTGTTGTTTTTTTTTTTTTAAATTTTTATGGTACCCCTCACAAGCAAAATATTTTTTCATCCTCAGGGGACGCCCCCCCCCCCCCCCCCCATATTAAAAAACGTACTCACTATCCCGATCCCTTGCGCCGCTGTGTGACACAAATAATGATGATGATGAGTAACAGCACCAGGATGGCGGCTCCTAACACTCCTGCAATGATCGCAATGATCTGAAGCTTGCCTGTACGGGAGCTCTCACACTGGTCGCCGTAGTACTCGGTGTCGTAGCTTTCATCACAGCTGCAATTATTAAAAGTAGGTTTGAAAACTTGGTGGGGGTTGCTGTGGCTGGTGTTTAGGGCTGTCAAAAACATTGGAATAAGACCTGCTCGCCTTCTCGGGTACCCGTCGCCGATCGTATCCGGAAAATTGATCGAAAGAAACTTCGTCGACGGTAAATGTTAGGTTATGTGCACAAATAGTTATGTGCACAAATGCTAAGTTGTGTGTTGTGTGCACAAATTCTAATTTGAGTGCACAAATGTTAAGTTATGTGCAGAAATACTAAGTTATGTGCACAAATGCTAAGTTATGGAACTACGTTTAAGTGAAAAAGGAAGAGTTAAATAGCTACATTACTCAAATTGTGATTTTCCTACATTTTTGACAAACTTGGAGCCAAAAGATTTGTTTCCATGTTAAAATAAAACTGATCAAACAAAACCGTACATGCATTTTGTTGCAGTCGTCCTGTCAGAAAAAAGGCTAACAACACACTGTCCATTGCCGTTGCACGTGTCGGGTCCACAGCTTGACCTCAGTGAACAACCCCGAGCTTCACAGTCATAACCCACGGGGCAAACATTGATGGCGAAGCAAGGGTCGTCAGAAGCATTTTGGAAAACTAGGTCAGGAAATAAACAAAGAATTTCAATGAAAATAAAAATTAGTGGCCATGCTAATGAAGGTCAAGGTTCTTGAAAAAAATAAAAACATTGTCTCTAGGAGTTTCTTCAGTAAAAATTTTTAAATTAAAAATGACTTAGGTGAAAGTGGTGAGTATGTGAAAGTGGTGAGTAGGTGAAAGTGGTGAGTAGGTGAAGGTGGTGAGTAGGTGAAAGTGGTGAGTAGGTGAAAGTGGTGAGTAGGTGAAAGTGGTGAGTAGGTGAAAGTGGTGAGTAGGTGAAAGTGGTGAGTAGGTGAAGGTGGTGAGTAGGTGAAAGTGGTGAGTAGGTGAAGGTGGTGAGTAGGTGAAAGTGGTGAGTATGTGAAGGTGGTGAGTAGGTGAAGGTGGTGAGTAGGTGAAAGTAGTGAGTAGGTGAAAGTGGTTAGTCCCCAAATGGGGATGAGTCTTAAATGGGGTCAAGACTTAAATTGGGATATGTCTTAAAGGGGGACAGCGGCAAAGATAGCATTAGTGCCGCCAAGGGCGGGCCCGAATTATTTGCCACCCCTCGTGGAAAAAAGCTCTGTGTGTTGCCAAAAATGCCTCCCCTCCATATATCTCTAAATATAGATATATCTTTAAAGACCAGTATATCCCTTCAAAGTATCACATGTGGCTCCCTCCCTTTCATACAAGGGCATGGTACAACTGCCTAGTGCAAACACACATGGCACAGCACCGCACCACCTGTCGTGGACCACAAAAAGTTGGCCATCTTTTAGGGAAGGGCACTCAGTGATGATTGTCTCAAAAAATAATGCAACCCTGAGCACAATGTCAAATGATGCTTGATTAGAAGGTTTCCTCGTGTAGTGCATAGAGCAAGTTATCTGGCTTGGAGAGTACGGTTTTTTAAAATATATTTTTAAATACTGGTGGCTCATTTATCGACAATCGTTTGGAAACTACTTTTTAGATTTCATGCTCGTGCGCTATACATTCTGTGAGCCCCCACCCCCTTTCCATGGTTCCAAATCCTTTCACTTACATTGACTAATTTTTTCCAGAGTTCTACTGGACACCGTCAACTCCGTCTCTGTGTTATTCAAGTCAATGGTTGCGTTTCTAATCTTTTCCTCAAGGGTTGAGTTGATCCCGTAGATTTGAGTAAAGAAGAATTTTAACAGCAGGCTGTAATCGTCAGATCCATCTCTGAAAAATAGAAACGTGATTTCAAATAATTTAACTATCAATTGTGTACAAACTAACAATATTCATTGCATTGAAAAAAAAAAAAAAAAAAAAAAAAAACATGCGACTTCCAAAAAAAAAAAAAAAAAAAACAAAAAAAAAAAAAAAAAAAAAAAAAAATAGAAACGTGATTTCAAAAAATTTAACTATAAATTGTGTACAAAATAAAAAAATTCATTGCATTGAAAAAAAAAAAAAAAAAAAAAATTATCGTGCGACTTCCAAATAAAAAAAAAAAACAGCTTAAAAAAACAGCAAAAAAAAACAAGGAATGACTGGGTTAATGACAGTGGTGTGTTTATGATGCTACAGTATCTGAGACACCCAGACAAAGAGAAAATCTTGGAAAGATGGGCGGAACACTTTGAAAGTGTGCTCAATACACCTTCCATCATTAATGATGAGGCCATTGAAAGACTCCCCCAGGTCCCAACGAACAATTTACTGGACGCCGTCCCAACTTTTGATGAGATACAGACAGCGATCCGACAAATGTCCGATGGCAAAGTACCTGGCCCTGACATGATTCCTGCCGAAATCTACAAAGAGGGTGGACCAGCTATTGCGTCTATTCCAGATCATCTGGCAGACGGAAACTGTACCACAAGACCTCAAGGATGCCTCAATTATCCACCTGTACAAACACAAAGGAAACCGCCAGGCCTGCGACAATCACAGCGGAATTTCACTGCTGTCCATTGCAGGCAAGATCTTGGCCCGAGCCCTTCTGAACAGCCTGAATGCACATCTGGAGCTAGGTCTCCTACCCGAAAGTCAATGCGGTTTCCGCAAAAAACGCGGAACCATCGATATGGTGTTTGCTGCTAGACAGCTTCAAGAGAAATGCCAGGAACAAAATACAGACCTATATTCCACATTTATCGACTTGAATAAGGTCTTTGACAGGGTCAATAGAGGTGGCCTGTGGAAAATCATGAAGAAATACGGATGCCCAGACAAGTTCACCAACATCATACGTCAGCTGCATGATGGTATGATGGCCCGAGTGCAGGACAACGGTCAATCATCTCAAGCATTCCCCGTCACAAACGGTGTAAAGCAGGGTTGTGTACTTGCTCCCACACTCTTCAGTATTATGTATTCTGCAATGCTCTCTGATGCGTTCAAGGACTCCACCACGGGCTTGCCAATCCGGTTTCGCACTGATGGATCAGTATTTAACCTTAGGAGGCTTCAGCTAAAACCAAGGTCAAACATAACACCACCAACGAGCTTCTGTTTGCAGACTATTGTGCCCTCAACGCTCCCTCAGAAGCCGTCATTCAACACAGCGTTGATATCTTCTCTGAGGCCTGCAATAACTTTGGCCTCAAAATCAACACAAAGAAGACTGAGGTGATGTATCAACCAGCTCCCAGTAGGCCCTACGTTGAACCCAACATCATGATCAATGGACAGCGTCTCAACCCGGTGGATAAATTTACTTACTTGGGCAGCACCCTCCCTAGATCTGTCGTCATGGATCATGAAATGAATGGCAGACTCGCAAAAGCTAGTGCCATATTTGGCAGGCTCCGCAGCACTGTTTGGGACAGGAGAGGTATCAGACGAGAAACGAAGATCAAGGTCTATAGCGCAGCAGTCCTCTCGACACTGCTCTACGGATGTGAAACATGGACAGTCTACCAGCGTCACGCCAAGAAACTGAATCATTTTCACACAACCTGCCTCAGGAAACTCCTCGCCATCAGTTGGCAAGACAAAGTCCCCGACACCGAGGTCCTCGCTAGAGCGAACCTAACTAGTAATCTTCACCACTCTGATGCAGTCTCAGCTCCGTTGGATGGGACACGTAGCCCGTATGGATGACCACCGTCTCCCGAAACAGATGCTCTTCGGAGAACTCACGATAGGCAAGCGCTCCCAAGGAGGTCAAAGAAAAAAAAGCGTTACAAAAACTCACTGAAAGTGGCACTAAAGGCCTCCAGCATAAACACTACTCAATGGGTGCAGACAGCCCAGGACAGAGCCAGGTGGAGAGCTCCTGTCACTACAGTAGTGATAAACACTTTTTTATATAGCGTGGTACCCCAGCCTAGGGCTGGGCTCAACACGCTGTAGATACAATTTAACAAACATAATCATGAACTTAACAATTAACATTCATTAATAAATAGAACAAAACAAATGTAGATCCACTCCAGACATTCAAGAAGTAGTTACACGTCAAGCCACGGACGGCTACCCAGCAGCATCGTTAAGCGATCAGAGAGAGAGGGGGAGGGGGGGGGATCAGTCAGGATAGTAAAGTTTAAAGAGATGTGTTTTGAGTGCAGTCTTGAAGACTGTGATGGTCGGTATATTGCGGATAAGTAATGGAAGAGAATTCCATTGTTTTGGGGCACAGAAAGAGAACGATCGTTCACCGTGTGTTTTTGTGCGAATCTTGGGGACAGAAAGAATACGCGCGTCTGCGGAGGAGCGAAGCTGTCGTAGGTGTGAATAGAGAGAGAGAAGTTCGGTTAGATAGGGAGGGGAGGAATTCGAGAAAAAAGTTGTGGAAGAGAGCAGAGAATTTGTAGTCAATACGTACTTGTAGAGGGAGCCAATCAAGTGAATACAGTAGTGGAGTGACGTGAAATATTAAAAATAGTTGAGGATCACCGAACCAGAGAATGAAAGGATGTTTGTTGAATATTTAGGCATTTAATTGTTTTTTTTTTCTTTTAAAGTTACCTTTTGGTCAAATCGATGGCAGCAGACTGTTGAAAGTATTGACTGATCTGAAACAGAAGAAATTTGAACCAATCTACGACCAGTGTTATAAAAGGCAAATAAATAGGTTTGGAGTTCTGGTTTTTGTTGAGTCAGTTGGGCAGATTTTTTTTAAAGGCACCAGGAACGAAGAGGGGGCACCCGTTAAATCGGCCTAAATATTATTAAAATAATTTTAAATCAATAAATAAGTGCGCCCCGAAAAAAATTTTGCCTAGACATTCAACTAAGGTGTACGAAAATCTAACTAAAGCGTAAAAAACTATCTGTGGTGTAGGAAAACTATCTAACCAAGGTGTACAAAACTATAGGCTATGTGGTTTATGAAACTATCTGTGGCATACGAAACTATCTAAGGTGTACGAAACAATCCATGGTGTACCGTAGTGTGCGAAACTATCTGTGGCATTCTATGGTGTACGAAACTAGCTAAGATATGCATAATAATTTAAATTTTAATATTAATAATAAGACCGGAACAGCATATTAAACTTTCCTGGACAATGTTTCTAAAACCGGGAAGATCCCGGTCAAATCGGGACTCATGGTACGGGCCTGCCTATATGTGATATGTTTAATCTATATATAAACTTACGCTGGCCAACAACTGTTCTCTGGTCAGGTTGAGATTCGTGTACACAACATCTGCTGTGCTGTTTGGACCAAGCGTCAGTGTCAAGATGAAGACCGCCCTGTCTAAACACCAACGAGGTAAAAAAAAAATGAATTAATAATAATGAAATGATTGTCCATCTCCATATCATTGACCAATCAAAGTGTGAGCCTAGAGTTGTCACAGATGGGGATGAGGCAATCAAAGTGTGAGCCTAGAGTTGTCACAGATGGGGATGAGGCAATCAAAGTGTGAGCCTAGAGTTATCACAGATGGGGATGAGGCAATCAAAGTGTGGGCCTAGAGTTGTCACAGATGGGGATGAAGTTGCACCCACCCCCTTTTAAGGTTCATGACTTCATTTCAATAAGTTGCAAGTTTTTTTTTGGCCCCTATCAAAATTTGATCTGTCTGACACAAAAAAAGACTTAAAGTATCCGATGATACTAGTGGATCAGTGGATAGAATTAACTCATTTAAAAGTTACAGGAGAAAATAAACGATAATATCATCTCTATTCTACTAGAATAAAAGGATACAAACAATTGGCCTTAGAAATTCCCGCTATATTTTATTTATTTATTTAGGCATTTTTATATAGCGCTTATCATAAAGCTCTAAGCGCTTTACAATTATTAAAACATGTAAACTAAGTAAATACAAATGAGACACTAGGATAGTAACTACTATTCTATAGAAACAATGAAAATGGCTATAAAAAGAGGACACTTTGACACTTCAGGATTAAACCGAAACAGAAAATTAGGTAGGGCAAGGAGGGTGCATCACAGGTCATAGGCGGACCTAAACAGATGAGTTTTAAGGGACTTTTTGAAAATGGACGAGGTTTCACTATGACGTATATGGAAGGGGAGCTGGTTCCAGAACGTGGGCCCATGGAAGCAGAAAGAGCGTTCACCGATGGTCTTAGTTTTAGTTCATTTGACACCTCTCTTTCTCTCTCTCTCATTTTCTCTCTCTTCCTCTCCCTCTCTATTTTTTCTCTCTCATTTTCTCCCCCTCCCCTTCTCTCCTTTTTCTCACTCTCAAAGGGTTGCCAGCTCACATACAATTGACTGATATACTTAGATCACGTAATTTTTTTTTATTTAGGCATATATTTTACGGTCACATTTAAATATCTCTTATATCTATAACGCTTCTGGTGGGACTCGTGGACTGCTTCCTCATCAGCGAATTCTGCATTGAGAGCATATTAGAAATAATTATAAATGTTTGCACATATGCCAGTACTTGGTTGCAGCATGCAGTCTATCAGAATCAAAAAGTATGGTTCAAGGATAAGTTCACTTGCGTGCAAAATATAATTCCCGATAACTACGCTAAATGATATTTTTTTTTTAAACGCAACTGCGTTTGGCGCGTAATATTTTCTTTTTTGGAAGATGAAATCGTTTCAATTTAAGTATGGGGTAGAGAAAATATTCAGTTTGAAAGTGGTTGGGACATCAGAATATTTAATGTAGTTCATGGGCGTGAAATAAAAAGTGTGCAGTGACGTTTCATGGGGGGGGGAAGGGGGGAAGGGGCGTAGCAAAAATTGGGATTCTTAAATGTGCGTTATACTTGCGTTCATGTTTTGTCAAGTAACTTTACTAGATGGGAGGTTCACACATTGCTGTCGCCAATGTTTGGTGGGCTATATCTCGTAAACGATATATTTTAAAAAAAAAACAAAAAAAAAAACAACAAGACCCACCCATAATCTCAACAATTAAAAAAGGGGCAGACTGCGATGGGCAAAACATATTGAAAGGAAGCCAGATTGGTGGGCTAAAACTCTAAAACGATATATTTTAAAAAAAAAACAAAAAAAAAAACAACAAGACCCACCCATAATCTCAACAATTAAAAAAGGGGCAGACTGCGATGGGCAAAACATATTGAAAGGAAGCCAGATTGTAGAGCAGCAGAAGTGATTGTTAATTAATTTTTAAAGTTCATTATGTTTGTTAAATTTTATGCACAGCGTGGTGAGTGTTGGGGTACCACGCTGTATAAAACCACTCATAATAATAATAATAACATAATAATAATAATAATTAGTGGTCTTTTATAGCGCTGTACCCCAGCCTAGGGTTGGGCTCACCGCGCTGTACATAAAAATATTTTCAAAAGAGACATAATCATGACATTAAAATCAAATACAATTATGAAATAAAGAGCAGCATGAACCCCAGGACTTTTAAAAGGCAAACCATGGACGGCAGCCAGCAAGATCATTTATCGGTCAGAGGAGGGGAATCAGTCAGGGTAGTATATACAGGGAGAAACCTAGGGGCAGGCGGCTCACCGGTCGCCCAAGGCTGAGATGGATCGACGACGATGTAGAGAAGGACTTACACAAGTTTGGGGTTCGCCCATGGATGCGGAAAGCCATGGATCGATCCGAATGCAAGAATGTGGTGGAGCAGGCCAGGGCCCTACATGGGCTGCATCGCCACTGATGATGATAATTTTTTAAAACTTTGCAGCCAAAAACTTCTAAAATATCCGACTGGTGTGACCACGTGACCAAGTAACCATGACCAGTGACGTTGGTGTGAACCGGTGCGGTTAACTCATGGTGTCACCCCCCCCCCTTTTTATCCAACTTCCACGATTAATTTCTTCTTTTTAAAATAATTCCACTGTATGACAATGACAAGGGGAAAAAATAACAAATTAATTGAAAGTCAGGAGGTAAAAATGTATTTAAGAACTGTAACAACGTTAAGTTATAGTTATTTTTACATTAAATTTACTTTATTTTACAAATGTCATTTCCTGGTGTTTAAAGCTGTAAACCTGCCAATCACGTGATCAAACTCAATAGCCGTCACCGTATCGCTTTTAATTGATAGTAGAGCCACATCAGAAAGCATCGACTGTCCCATTGGTGGATCGTAAAGAGTTCTTGATAAGCCTTAGTTTTGAAAAGCTCCGCTCACAAGAAGCCGCAGATACACAGATCGTAAGAAACAACTGAAGGCCTAGCGAGAGTATTGGAAGAGATTCTAAGAAGTCCCATTCAGCTATGCATTTCAAAACATCAAATACTGGCCAGTGTGTAATTTAATATCAGCTGCCTGTAGGTTTCTTCTAAGCCTTCATTTTTTTTTTAAAGTACATCTTCTGAGAACTCATCAAAGAAAGAGGTTCATTTTGGAACGGACACCAATAACTCTTATTCCCTTGCTGATACTCACTGATAGTAGACTCTTGGGTGGAACAGCGCCATACATATCTGCTAATACCTTGATCGCTAATGAACTGATCTGGAGTCTGAATGAAAGCGATTAATACACTCCATCATCTCACTCATGTTTTCTTTACGCAGAGAGAGAGTCCAGCATCTAGTAGGCTAATTGTTCTCCTGCCATTCTCTTCTGAAACCTTAATCTTCTCGCTACCGAAATTCCGTATCGGTCCATTTTAAAAGTGCCTTTTCAATAGCATGTTCCACCAACAAGTGACAGCGCTTCTCGTGCAGAAACAATATTAAGGCCTCTTGGGTTGATCACCACTTTTTCAAGAGTGAAGTCTTTAGATACTGCTGTGTACGAGTAACTTCCTCAAGTAGATCAGCCCAAAGGTAAAGGTAGCGGATAAACGTGACATCACAGACAGCATGTAAAAGACCTTGTACTGTATGACAATCGTGCTCAAGGGGCGGTGCTAGTGAAGAATCGGCGAACATATTAATTTTTGAGTATTTTTGGGTTTCGATATTTTCGGTTTCTTAACCATTTTAAAAAATTTAATTAATTAAAATTAATTTTTAAAAGACATTAGACCATTTTGTAAAATATTATTTTGATAACTCTATAAATCGGTTAAAAATTCATTTTTAATTATTTTTTTATATATTTTTTTTTTACCAATTCGGCTCATTTACTGAATCGCCAGACCCTATCGTATTTGGTATCCATGGAAAGCTTTATTTCTGAAAGTTTAGATATATATAGCTTCCTGTCACTAACGAAAGTTACCAAACACTTCAATTGGCGTTGAATAATAGTAAAAACTGTGTTTTTCTTACCTAATTATAGGGTCACCTCATTTCTGACGCATCACCCTTGAACTTTCAATAAAGCACGCATTTGGATTGGTTGCAAGTTTGGACAATTTACTTGTGATCGGTTATTCTTTTATGGAATTCGGTCGGATCGAGCGGTGTGTGCTCTGGGATCGAGCGGTGTGTGCTCTGGGATCGAGCGGTGTGTGCTCTGGGATCGAGCGGTGTGTGCTCTGGGATCGAGCGGTGTGTGCTCTGGGATCGAGCGGTGTGTGCTCTGTAAATAATGCAATTTTTCAAGTTGGTATCCCCGCCTGCTATGGTGTCCACCAGGCGCGGTCCGCACCCCCCCCTAGCTACGCCACTGCATGCGACAATGTCTCTTTCAAATCTTTAACTCTATGTCATAAGACGCTAAATTCTATACGTAGCCTAAGCTTACAGTATGACATTCTCAGCGCTGTCTTCAGTGCTGTCTTTAGCGTTGTCATCGGTGTTGTTATCCGTGTTTAATTTTTCCTGATTACGATCATTCAATTTTAAAGCAAGTAAACGAAAAAGGCGGGGAGGGGAGGGGGGACACGTTAACTGAAGTTCTTGCAGACATTTACCGACAACTCATTCTAAGCAGTCTGTACATTACGGGTGGTTGGCAGCCCTGCCCCCTTAGATACATTACGGGTGGTTGGCAGCCCTGCCCCCTTAGATACATTACGGGTGGTTGGCAGCCCTGCCCCCTTAGATACATTACGGGTGGTTGGCAGCCCTGCCCCCTTAGATACATTACGGGTGGTTGGCAGCCCTGCCCCCTTAGATACATTACGGGTGGTTGGCAGCCCTGCCCCCTTAGATACATTACGGGTGGTTGGCAGCCCTGCCCCCTTAGATACATTACGGGTGGTTGGCAGCCCTGCCCCCTTAGATACATTACGGGTGGTTGGCAGCCCTGCCCCCTTAGATACATTACGGGTGGTTGGCAGCCCTGCCCCCTTAGATACATTACGGGTGGTTGGCAGCCCTGCCCCCTTAGATACATTACGGGTGGTTGGCAGCCCTGCCCCCTTAGATACATTACGGGTGGTTGGCAGCCCTGCCCCCTTAGATACATTACGGGTGGTTGGCAGCCCTGCCCCCTTAGATACATTACGGGTGGTTGGCAGCCCTGCCCCCTTAGATACATTACGGGTGGTTGGCAGCCCTGCCCCCTTAGATACATTACGGGTGGTTGGCAGCCCTGCCCCCTTAGATACATTACGGGTGGTTGGCAGCCCTGCCCCCTTAGATACATTACGGGTGGTTGGCAGCCCTGCCCCCTTAGATACATTACGGGTGGTTGGCAGCCCTGCCCCCTTAGATACATTACGGGTGGTTGGCAGCCCTGCCCCCTTAGATACATTACGGGTGGTTGGCAGCCCTGCCCCCTTAGATACATTACGGGTGGTTGGCAGCCCTGCCCCCTTAGATACATTACGGGTGGTTGGCAGCCCTGCCCCCTTAGATACATTACGGGTGGTTGGCAGCCCTGCCCCCTTAGATACATTACGGGTGGTTGGCAACCCTACACCCCTTACATACATTATGGGTGGTTGGCAGCCCTGCCCTCTTAGATACATTACGGGTGGTTGGCAGCCCTGCCCCCTTAGATACATTACGGTTGGTTGGCAGACCTGCCCCCTTAGATACATTACGGGTGGTTGGCAGCCCTGCCCCCTTAGATACATTACGGTTGGTTGGCAGCCCTGCCCCCTTAGATACATTATGGTTTGTTGGCAGCCCTGCCCTCTTAGATACATTACGGGTGGTTGGCAGCCCTGCCCCCTTAGATACATTATGGTTTGTTGGCAGCCCTGCCCTCTTAGATACATTACGGGTGGTTGGCAGCACTGCCCTCTTAGATACATTACGGTTGGTTGGCAGCCCTGCCCCCTTAGATACATTACGGGTGGTTGGCAGCCCTATGCCCCCTTTGATAGCTTTCAGCTGTAGAGACATTTGTTTTTAAAAATAGAAATTTTGCCAAACGGTTTGGACACTCACCTCTGGAGAAATCCATTAGCGGTTTTTCCGTTGTCGTCACAGTTGTTGTAGTTGTGGGCAGTGTGGTCGTGGCGTTGGCATCGGTCGTGTTGGGCGACGCTGCCGTGGTCTCATTGTTGGTGATGTTGGGGGCGGCCGGCGACTGGGTGGGGTTACTGCTGGGGTTCACGGTAGACGTGCTGCTGGGGTTTACGGTAGACGTGCTGCTGGGGTTCACGGTAGACGTGCTGCTGGAACCACTCACGGGCGTCACTGATGAACTGGAGGAGGTGGACGACACCGAGACGTTGATGTTAGCGGTTGTGTTCACGTTGCCGACGGTGGTGTTGCTGGGTGGAGCCGCGGTGGTCGTGTTGTCTGGTTGAGCCCACGTGTTCTGAAACAAAGCTGTCAAGGGGGGAATGCTGTTAGTTATACAACATGACACACGGTTAGTATTGACCATTCTCGGCGCGAAATGTCTTAAGGGTCTGAGAGGACATGACAATGTTCCTAAAAGAAGTTTATTTATTTATGTCTTTTTGTTGAGAGCATTGGGTCCAGTTCCGTCATGTGGGAATAACAAAGTGTCTGATCGTGAACTTCCTGTGTGTTGGGTTTGTAAGGAGGGAAAGACGATGTCATGTTTTTATATTTCTCAATTGAATGCACTCTCTAAGAAGAGTATTTGTTCTTTGTGTCTAAAATCTCTGCACAGCTAGGTAATGTAAGGAATTGTATTCTGATCATTGAGAAATGGTATTCTGATCATTGAGGAATGGTATTCTGATCATTGAGGAATGTATTCTGATCATTGAGGAATGGCATTCTGATCATTGAGGAATGTATTCTGATCATTGAGGAATGGTATTCTGATCATTGAGGAATGTATTCTGATCATTGAGGAATGTATTCTGATCATTGAGGAATGGTATTCTGATCATTGAGGAATGGTATTCTGATCATTGAGGAATGTATTCTGATCATTGAGGAATGTATTCTGATCATTGAGGAATGTATTCTGGTTATTGAGGAATGTATTCTGATCATTGGGGAATGTATTCTCTGATCATTGAGGAATGTATTCTGATCATTTACGAATGGTATTCTGATCATTGAGAAATGTTATTCCCATCATTGGGGAATGTATTCTGATCATTAACGAATGGTATTCTGATCATTGAGGAATGTATTCTGATCATTGAGGAATGTATTCTCTGATCATTGAGGAATGTATTCCCTGATCATTGAGGAATGTATTCCCTGATCATTGAGGAATGGTATTCTGATCATGAGAAACTTTTCGTGTCAAGTGTTCTGTTATCTACCCACTGTGGAGCCCCCCCCCACCCCCTTTCCACCCCCACCCCCACGATCACCACTTATCGGTTTTGTCCGCCTTGTATTCAAGTTTATAGATGAAGTGATCTCCACATCACAAATTTGGGTCACTCAAAACAAGAGTCTCCCTAAAAAACGCTGGGGTTGTAAGGCCCACGCGATGACCCCGAGGGGTCACACCCATACTGTCCACGGTGGGCTAATTGTACATACTGTCCACGGTAAGCCAATCGTACACACTGTCCACGATAAGCCAATTGTACACACTGTCCACGGTAACCCAATTGTACACACTGTCCACGGTAAGCCAATTGTACACACTGTCCACGGTAAGCCAATTGTACACACTGTCCACGGTAAGCCAATTGTACACACTGTCCACGGTAAGCCAATTGTACACACTGTCCACGGTAAGCCAATTGTACACACTGTCCACGGTAAGCCAATTGTACACACTGTCCAAATACAAGTTAAGAAACTTTAAAGAAACACAATATCAGTTTGTTTTTGTTTTGTTTTTGTTAAAACTAGGTCATCAACTCCTTATCTGCTCATCTCCAGTTTTTTACTCGGACGCATTTTGAGGATTATACTTGAAAGAGGCGCCAAAGTTAAGCAACTGTAGGGCCGACCCTGACTCATAGGGCCGACCCTGGCTCATAGGGCCGACCATGGCACGTAGGGCCGCCCTGGCTCGTAGGGCCGACCCTGGCACATAGGGCCGACCCTGGCCCATAGGGCCGACCCTGGCACATAGGGCCGACCCTGTCACATAGGACCGACCTTGGCACGTAGGGCCGACCCTGGCTCATAGGGCCAACCCTGGCTCATAGGGCCGACCGTGGCCCATAGGGCCGACCCTGGCTCATAGGGCCGACCCTGGCTCATTGGGCCAACCCTGGCTCGTAGGGCCGACCCTGGCACGTAGGGCCGACCCTGGCACGTAGGGCTGACCCTGGCACGTAGGGCCGACCCTGGCACGTAGGGCCGACCCTGGCTCATAGGGCCGACCCTGGCACATAGGGCCGACCCTGGCTCATAGGGCCGACCCTGGCACATAGGGCCGACCCTGGCTCGAAGTGCCTATGTGGCGGTGGCCGGTGCAGCAAATTCCTATTGTTAATTATACGGCCGTTCGAAACATTCATATAATGATCTATGTGTAGCCTACTTGGCATGGGGGGTGGGGGGGGGATGTTTGACAAAGACACGCGTTATTTTTACCTGCCAGGAAACACGTGACCAGCAGTAATCTCATGATGAATGGCGATTGGCTGAACTTCGTCTTCGACTCACTGTGGTCGAGGGAGGCGCTATTGCTTACAGCTTTTTTTTCTTTTCCACCACGCCGTGCTACTCCCCTACAGTCTCACTCCGTGCTGGGACAACTCCGCGAATGACGGCACTCTGGGTAATGAGGACAAACTAGCGTGTTTGTGGGTAGATTTCTGGGAATACAAAAAAAAATAAAATAATAATAATAATAAACTAAAACATTTTCTTGTTTTGTTTGTCCTTTGAATGATCAAATAAATAATCGATCAATGAGAAACTCAGCTCACAAGAAGAGATAAACATCACTTTGCAGATGGTGTCGGTGGGTCGTCGAGTTTGCACTCATAATACCCCCCCCCCCGGCACTCCCCCAAACGGGCCAGAGCCGAAGCTCCAGACCGAGCGGAGGCGCGCCAGGAACTTCCCTCCTGGCCCGAGGGACCGAGGGCGCTGCGTTTAAAGCGTCCGTAGTCCACTCTCCTATGGGACAGGACGGCCTTACTTCCTCTCCGGAGAGGTGGTGTTGCGTTACCCCTCCCCACCGTCCAGGGAGCTGTCCGGAGAAGAGATAAACAAAAAGGTCAATTTTATTTCACGCTTACAACCAGGAAGGGGTGGGGGGTGGGGGTTGTTATTGTTGTTGGCTTATGCAAATTTGGTGACGGAATCTTTTTGTTAGTAGTTAGGATGAGTGCAAGCTTTTTGCTAGGACAAAACACCACAGGAGCTGGTAAAAAATGCCACCCCTTTCCTACGCCCCTGGGGGTTGAAATGTGCTGCGGTTAACAAATACTAACCTCTATTTGGAGTAGACCTGTTCAAAGTCTAGTTTTGAAAGGATTTTTTTTAAGTGTCGTAAGTCGTGGGGTACAAGATGAAAAAGTCGTTTGACCTTGGCCGCTTAACTTTGACCTTGGCCGCTTAACTTTGACCTTGGCCGCTTAACTTAATGCTTTAATTTACACACTCAAATTGGACTGGGGGGGGGGGGAGAATGATTTCCCCAAACCGTGTCCACCATTTGCAATTGTTGGAGAATCGGTTTATTGAAAACTTTAAACTTTATTAAACTACGATAGCCTTCAGAAGCCTATGATTTAGATTATGGTTCACGCGAATAGTGGACCGGCAAGAATTGTGAGGCCTCAATGGCGGGGACGAACGTTTGAATGAAACGTGAGGCTTTGTTTGTGGAGGAATGAACAGGCGACCGGCACACCTTCATTTTGTTGGCTCAGGCTCAGGTAGTCTAAGGTACATCTTAACGGTTAGGGATTGGGCATACACCATGTCTAATTGGGGGGGGGGGCGGGGAGGCGGGTGGTTGGACACATACCTTGTCTAATAGAGGATTGGTTAACTTTGTTGAATTAGGTGCAAGAGCAGGAGACATACATCTTTTAAGCTTTCCAGAACGGGGTGGGGGTGGAACCCCCCAAAAATGGGGGGGGGGCAAGAGAGACAACCCCACCCCCCAAAAAAAAGATAAAAAATAAAAATCTAAAATAAATATTTGAATGGGGATTTCCGATTGCGATTTCACGGAATTTCAGTTCCTCCTATCAAGGAAGAGAACATTGGTATGTGGTTATGGGCCATTTATAAAGTAGCCTGTGGCGTCTAGTAGTTTTTTTTTTTCGGACACACCTGTACGCGTATGTACAAATAAGACAACCCACGTGAAGTCGTCCCCGGTTTCATCAGTTCAATCTGAAATAATTTGGCTCACTGGATTTCATCCATCACGGATGAAAAGTTTGTGGATGGATACACGTCGTCGACGGTTTTCAGCCCGCCTTTGCGTACACATCCAGTTCATGGACGTTGGAATTAAGACAATAATTATTCAATGTGGTAATATTCCATGACGCGCTCAGTTTCGGACTTTTGGTGTACATTTGCGTACTTTTGCGTACATTTCCACAAAGCCGTCGCGTGACTTTGGAGAGGGGTTGGGGGGGGGGGCACTGCCACCTTACGGCTGTGTGCCACCTGCATTCAAAGTTAATCATTCACGTTTTCGGGGCCCCTCAAATATCCGAGGCCACTGCAGCAACAACGTGGTGGTGGGCCTACCAGATGGCTCTGAACATCCAATAACCATTAATATTCCATATCTTCAAACGCCTCCATGTACAAAAATCTCCTAATCTGACAAAACGTAAATAGCTTAATATGCGATTAAACGTTATCTATAAAAATTACCAGCGATTCTCAAACTGTTGTGTTTGACGGACCATGGGACATGTTTTGACATTGCAACCAGGGACCAGTTCCGGATCGATTAATTAAATTTTATTTCCGACCATCCCTATATATGTGGTGCGGACCGGTAACGTAAGGCTCTCGGACAAGTGCCGGTCTGTGGATCACCATTTAGGGGAACGCTGGTCCAGAGCATGTGATAGGGAAAGGTCTAGAAATAAAATTCTCAAGTTTAAAAAAAAAAAACGTTCGTTGCCCAATCTCCCGATTCTAACGGGTACGTGGACACATTTCATTAAGACTTCCGGTATACGAATCCGATCTCTGCCTTCGTCTTATGATGTCACGAACATTTTTAAAAATGAATTTGATAATCACTTGTGAATGACGTCATATACTCTAGATTTTTTTCCCCTTAAGAGTGCTGGATGTTGTGGTTAAAGCTGCATCTACTAAAGTTGAAATGAACATGAGATCCCTCGCGTCCTGTAACAATGTCCTGCAATGCTGCACGCCAGGCTTCTCTCCACCACGAGGCTCATGAAAGACAAGCCGAGTGTGTGGCTCAGGGAATTACCTTTAAGAGCGCCCCCCCAGCCCCTCCCCATTCCACAGTCCAACTTTATGTACGAACCACCAAGTTCAATAACAACAAGGAAATGCAATCTTCAACTGACGTCTTCATGCAACTTTCCACTAACGTCTTCAGGCAACCTTCTACTAACGTCTTCACCCAACCTTCCACTGGCGTTTTCATGAAACCTTCCACTGACGTCTTTCCTGCAACCTTCCACTAAAGTCTTCACGCAACCTTCCACTGACGTCTTCACTCAACCTTCCAATAACGTCTTCACTCCAGCTTCCACTAAAGTCTTCATGCAACTTTCCACTAACGTCTTCAGGCAACCTTCTACTAACGTCTTCACCCAACTTTCCACAGACGTCTTCATGCAACCTTCCACTGACGTCTTTCCTGCAACCTTCCACTAAAGTCTTCACGCAACCTTCCACTAACGTCATCACGCAATCTTCCACTAACGTCTTCACCCAACCTTCCACTGACGTCTTCATGCAACCTTCCACTAACGTCTTCATGCAACCTTCCACTGACGTCTTTCCTGTAACGTTCCACTAACGTCTTCACGCAACCTTCCACTAACGTCTTCACGCAACCTTCCACTAACTTCTTCACGCAACCTTCCACTGACGTCTTCACCCAACCTTCCACTGACGTTTTCACCCAATCTTCCACTGAGGTCTTCAGGGAACCTACACTAACATCTTCATGCAACCTTCAACTAATGTCTTCACCCAACCTTCCACTGACGTCTTCACCCAACCTTCCACTAACGTCTTCACCCAACCTTCCACTAACGTCTTCATGCAACCTTCCACTGACGTCTTCAGCCAACCTTCCACTAACGTCTTCAGGCAACCTTCCACTGAGGTCGTTCATATTTGCTTTTCCTAACAAATATTTCCGGTGAGGTAGAGATGCCTTCATGACCCCTGACCCCAATACTATTTTTTATATGACACAGGGTGTCCAATTTCTTTGTACGCCCCGCCCAGCGGTGGCATTCAGCCGGTCCGTACCGGTTGAGTAGAACAGACAGGCTAACATCTTATTATTTTCTATGTATGTATATTTGAGCTCTAGGAATCGGTTGTTAAATTATGAAACTATTTTCAATAACAGTTGTATTGTTCCTTGTCCGTGTATCATTGGATAAAGTCCGAAATAAAATTGTTTTCATTTATATTTTAAATCATGTTGTAATGACAAAATTTCTTCTTTTTTTTTTACAATCCTTTATATCAACTTCGCTTTTGAGCGTGTATTCCCGGCTGGCAAATATCTTCGGACGGCTAACTGACCCACTTGCCATCAACCTGTCGATCTGAAACTCGGCGCATAAACTCGTTGCCGATGGTAACACTTTCTATAAAATTTTCAGCCTTACCCCCCTAGCCCCCCCCCCATGATTTTTACCCTCTTTTTCAAGGGGAATATGAAGGGAAATTTGATGCCACTGGTTTCAAGAAATAAAATTCCCGATAAATGAGCTGAATGAAATTATTATGATTATTTTTTTTTAATATCGCAAGGTCGTTTGGTGCATGATGTTTTCTTGTTTTTCTGAAATAGTTGGTGAAATAAATCTGCGGTGTAAGGGTGGGTGGGTCATTAAAATAATGAAGTTCAGGGGCGTGAAAAAATGTGCGGTTGCGTGCCTTGGGGTGGGGGAGCGGGAGCACTTATTTATATTCTTACAAATTGCGTTACTTTTATGCATGTTTTGTCAAATTTCCAGCCCCCCCCCCCGCTCTCAACACACACACGCTGCTCTATATCACATTCTATATAAGAAAAACTTATTTTAGGGGTTGTTGAGAACATAACACTATTTAAAACGCATAGATACGTAGGCCTACTGTGTTTACATACTTGACCAGGGATAAACTTTAAACCCCAAAAGGCACAAACTGAGAACCGCCACGCTGTTTAAGGTATGTGTAAAGCAACACCGAATTCCTGGACAAGCCTGTTTGGGGGAATATGTACTTACGCTCCGAACTATTTCTCTCGACGCCCCGAACTATTTCTCTCAATGAAAATGATACACCCAGCGCTGTCCTTTCTAAAGAATGTGGCTCTTCACCCACACGGACTGACATCCCCCCCCCCAACCTTCACAAGTCTTACGCCCCCTCACACCCGAGAAACGCAACCAACTAGTTTTCTTTGGGGGGGGGGGAGGGTAAAGATAAGATGTTCTATTTATAGAACCCCAACCAGTTCTGTGACAGTCAACCTCAACCTTTTTTTCGTGCCTTCATATTTGTTCATGAAACTAAGTTATGAAATGTTCCAACAGTTTGACTCAATCTTCAGCTGAGGTATTTGACGTCACACTGGTTTCAATGCTATCAGTGGCGTAAGAGGGGGTACGAGGGGGGGGGAGGAGGCGGTCTGCCCCAAGCGGCATTTATTGTCAATTACATGGCTTTTGTGACCAAATGTAAGGGGGGGGGGGTTCCATGGAAACGGGGCGGCAAAATTCTAGTCTCGCGTCGTTTGGTACTAACCGTAGCTACTGGATGGTATCACTGCGCAAGATGTTTTTTTTTTTAAATATTGAAGACCCAGTTCCTCATTCCTGGCAGAGTAGACACTGCCGCTGTTTGGCCAGAGGAAAATTTTTCCAATGTTTGATGTAAATTGCAGTACCGTAACCACAGATCACAGTTGGTTAATCATCAGAGTACGATACCATCAGAGTACGATACCATCAGAGTACGATACCATCAGAGTACGATACCATCAGAGTACGATATCATCAGAGTACGATACCATCAGAGTACGATATCATCAGAGTACGATACCACCAGAGTACGATACCATCAGAGCACGATACCATCAGAGTACGATACCATCAGAGTACGATACCATCAGAGTACGATAACATCACAGTACGATACCATCTGAGTACGATACCATCAGAGTACGATACCATCAGAGCACGATACCATCAGAGTACGATACACGACAGTTGGGCAGATTGGAACCCCATTTTGTCCAGGGGTTCTCCACTCGAGTTCTACAAAGGACAGTTCTTGGAAAGCCCCTGTGATCTGTGCTCCCCTTTTAAATATAGGTCTATCCATTCGCCAGACGACTAGCGGAAACGGGGAGAGGGGGGGGGGTGGCGTCCACGGTACCTAAAAGTTTAAGAACCCCTGCAGCTAAACGCTACCAGAGCCCAACATGTATCCACCGACCTGCCCTATCTCTGGCGACCGAAGCGTGACATTCCATTGATCACACACGTGACGAGATTCCCCACCGCGCCGGGCCAAGCATGGAAAGGGACACGCATCAGTTCCCCGCGGGAACATAAACATTGCTGTCACGTGACGATTATGATTTTAGTCCCGGGTGGAGCTTGTGTAAGGGGCCGTAACAAGTGCCAGCTTTTCGGTGGAATTCTTTCACAGCCACCGTTCCACTTACTTTATGGAGATTTTTTTCAAAAAGAGTCCATGGGGATTTTTAATGTTTCGACCTGGGTATTTTTCCATATTGTAATGTTTCCATGTGGGCATTATACCGAATGGGTGTCACGTGGGTTGAGTATGTTTCCGTTGGGGAATGTTTTGGACATAGTATGTGTTATATGGCAAGAAATATGTAGAAAACCCTATGCTAGCTGCAACGTGGTCGGAGATCAACTCTTTTCTCAAAGGCTGCATGAGTGGCTTAATATAGGTTCCCACCAACAATCAGTTTCCTACACTATCGTTGAGTAACATTGACTGAAGCTTTGCCCCCACTCTTACAATAACTTTTTGATGCGTACAATTTTAAATGGGTTTGGCGATGCATCTTATCATGGAAATGACAACCGGGCTGATTTATTTACTATCACTATCTTTATGTCTTTAAATATAAATATTTATATCCACCCACACACCATTTTAAAAAAAAAAAAAGCAAAGGGGGGAAAAAAAGGAAAAAAAAATCCCACTGTGGTGTCATACTTGTCTCGTCGTTAGAGTAGAATAGTCTGGTCGTCAGACATGGAATTGTAGGTCAACGTTTTCCCGAACCAGCAAGAAATGTCTTTGCCTCCACCCCATTTTCTCCCAACCCAATCCTCCCGCTCTCCCCCCCCCCCAACTTAGACCAGTAGTTCTCAAGCTGTGAGTTGCAACCCTTCCGGGGGAGGGCCGAACGTACCTTAACCAGAGGTCGCCTAGGACCATCGGAAAATCCACGGTTATTACCCCCCATTTTCCCCCCACCCAATCCCCCCGCCCCCCCCCCCCCCCCAACTTAGAGCAGTAGTTCTCAAGCTGTGAGTTGCAACCCTTTCGGGGGAGGGCCGAACGTACCTTAACCAGAGGTCGCCTAGGACCATCGGAAAATCCACGGTTATTGAACGTAGCAACGATAATAATTTTATAGTTTTGGGGTCACCACAACATGGGGAACTGTTTTAAAGGGTCGCGGCATTAGGAAGGTTGAGAACCACTGGCACAGAGTAAGCCGGTCAGAGAGATCGTGTTTTCTCCTACACTTAACCCCAGATCACTCTGTGCGTCCAAACATCGTACACTGAAAATGTGAGGGAGAAAAACCTACTCCTAAAATGGAGTGCTTTGAGGTACGCTGGATGTCAACAACTAAGCATAAGTACTCAGTACCTCGGGTACTTCCTACCGCCATGACGGACGACAACCGCCAGGAGCGGTTTAAGGATTTCACTTGCCTTGGCCGCAGCCAACATAGCTATAGCTAAATACGTACCCAACATAGGGGCACATGGCTATATAAGTAGCAAACATAGGGGCGCATAGCTAATAACGCAGCCAACATAGAGGCACATAGCTGTATATGTATAGCTAACATAGAGGCATATAGCTATACACACAGCCAACATAGAGGCCCAGCTATATACACAGCCAAGATAGGGGCCCATAGCTGTATATCTAGCTAATATAGAGGCACAGCTCTTCTTCTTCTATATCTTAAAGACCCACGATCAATTTATTGATCATTTTGGCTCCTATGCATGTAGATGGGATTTGCAATGTTTCTGTTACTGGTGTTGATGAGGAAATCATGCACTAGGGGTTTGAGGGCTTGAGGCAATAGACACAAATGTGTCTAGTGTTGCCGCCTCAACCGTTCCTTTTGAAAGATTGTTCCAGTCCCTGATTGTCTTGGGCAGGAATGAGCAGCTCCTATACTGGCTTCTTGCAGCTATATACACATCCAAGATAGGGGCCTATAGATGTATGTGTATAGCTAACATAGAGCCATATAGCTATATACGCAGCCAACATAGAGACCCAGCTATATACACATCCAAGATAGGGGCCCATAGCTGTAAATGTATAGCTAACATAGAGGCATATATCTATGTACGCAGCCGACATAGAGGCCCAGCTATATAAACAGCCAAGATAGGGGCCCATAGCTGCATATGTAGCTAACGTAGAGGCCCGTGTCTTAAAATAATAAATATGTGTCGCGGTTGACTGAGCTCCCTAATAACTACTGAATGAAGGTGGAACAATGAATCCTGCCAAGCATTGAGTTGTAGTTCTGTTACAACAATTCACGTGTAGCGCAGGTCACGTGAGTACCCCCTACTTTAGGGACGGTTAAGGACGGGACTGGAGGGCGGGAGGGTAGGGGGTAGCACGTTTCCCCCTCTGCCAATCGGATTATGAGGTCCTGCAAACAATGATTGACCAGATTATTTCTTAATCATGGGGTTTGTCTAGGCCTTGCCTTGGACTGAAAAAATTCACTCCAAACCTTAGGCCAGAGATACTTCGCCGACGGCACCACACGGAACACTAAGAAATTTAAATAGCACTACAGAGCAATACAGAGCAATGCAATACAATGGCAATGCGTATTAAGGAATGCGGGTTAAGCATTTTACTGGTCATGGATACCCCGACCCCTGGATCAATGGAACCTCTGTGAACTATATGTAGCCTTGGTCGGGAAGGCAGGGGGGGGGGAGGGAGGAGAGAATCTCAGTGTCATTAGAATCGGAGTGTACTGTCATGGTAGACAACTACCAGTGTATTCGATACCGTCACGGTAGACAACTGCCAGTGTATTCGATACCGTCACGGTGGATACAACTGCCAGTGTAATCGATACCATCACAGTGGATACAACTGCCAGTGTATTCGATACTGTCACGATAGACAACTGCCAGTGTATTCGATACCGTCACGGTGGATACAACTGCCAGTGTATTCGATATTGTCACCGTGGTTACAACTGCCAGTGTATTCGATACTAACGGTATCTTTGACTAGGGTGGGGGGGTGACGACAAGTTGCGTCTGTGATTGACAGTACTCGTGACACCCGTGCATTGTCCTTAATCGAAATGACAGGGCAGGGATCCTCGAACTTATTGTTGAAAGGCCTGGAGTCCAGTCAATGTACGCCAGATTAATTTTTTTTTAAAAACTGGACAGGTTTTTTTGCATGCGCGGAAAATTGACACAAACGCTAGAGATAATTTGGATAGAATTCACATCTCATTATCAATGAGCTATGTGTACACTTGTCTTAACAACGAGCTGTGTGTACACTTGTCTTAACAATGAGTTGTGTGTACACTTGTCTTAACAACGAGCTGTGTGTACACTTGTCTTGACAACGAGTTGTGTGTACACTTGTCTTGACAACGAGTTGTGTGTACACTTGTCTTAACAACGAGTTGTGTGTACACTTGCCTTAGCAACGAGTTGCATGTACACTAGTCTTAACAACGAGTTGTGTGTACACTTGTCTTAACATGCAAGTTTGACACGACTGTTCATAAAACTCTGTGGTACGACCTATCAATCATTTATAACACTGTTTATTACGAGCCCCTCAATATTATATCTTTCATAAGACTATATTTATATAGTACGAGTCATTGTCTTTATCTGTCCTGCTTTGCCTGTGTCCTCCACTGTCCTTATCTCTCCTGCTTTGTCTGTGTCTTCCATTGTCTGTATATATCCTGCTTTGTCTGTGTCCTTTTTCTTTACCTGTCCTGCCTTGTCTGTGTCCTACATTAGTGTTATTGCCACCTGCCGCTACTTAATCATATTACGTGACAATTGCCACCATGCTATAGGCAATGACAACATTACATGACAGTGATACCATGAGATGACAGTGTCGCCATAGCATGATAGTGACAACATGACATGACGGAAACCCCATTATAAGGCTGTGACAATATGATAAGGCAGTGACAATATAATAAGGCAGTGACAACATGATATGGCAGTGACACTATTATATGGCCTTCGACACTACCATATAAATGTGACACTATAATATGACAGGAGCACCGGGACATGAAATTCACACCATAATTTGACAGCAACATCATTTCATAATAGCAAGCACTTCCGTTGCGGGATTGGGGGGGGGGGGAGAGAGAAAACCGCCTATGCGCTTGACTGGATTTGTTCCCACTTGCCGGCCCGACGAATCAGAATTTGGATCTGCCCCTGGACGCCCCTAATGGGTATATGCATTGACCGAATCGAGGCTTTCAAAGGTCTAACCTGATCTCAGGTGATCGATGGGGCAAAAGATCGATATCCACGCGCTACAATTGTATATATCTATGCATTTACGCTACTTGGGAAGTCAGTGACAGGGAAATGTTAGGTGGGGGACAGGGAAATGTTAGGTGGGGGACAGGGAAATGTTAGGAGGGACAGGGAAATGTTAGGAGGGACAGGGAAATGTTAGGAGGGACATGGAAATGTTAGGAGGGACATGGAAATGTAAGGAGGGACAGGGAAATGTAAGGAGGACATGGAAATGTTAGGAGGAACATGGAAACGTTAGGAGGGACAGGGAAATGTTAGGAGGGACAGGGAAATGTTAGGACGAACATGGAAATGTTAGGAGGGACAGGGAAATGTTAGGAGGGACATGGAAATGTTAGGAGGGACATGGAAATGTTAGGAGGGACAAGGAAATGTTAGGAGGGACATTGAAATGTTAGGAAGGACAGGGAAATGTTAGGAGGGACAGGGAAATGTTAGGAGGGACAGGGAAATGTTAGGAGGGAGAGGGAAATGTTAGGAGGAACATGAAAACGTTAGGAGGGACAGGGAAATGTTAGGAGGGACAGGGAAATGTAAGGAGGGACAGGGAAATGTTAGGAGGGACATGGAAATGTTAGGGGGGACAGGGAAATGTGAGGAGGGACATGGAAATGTTAGGAGGGACAGGGAAATGTGAGGAGGGACAGGGAAATGTTAGGAGGGACAGGGAAATGTAAGGAGGGACAGGGAAAGGTTAGGAGGGACATGGAAATGTTAGGGGGGACAGGGAAATGTTAGGAGGGACATGGAAATGTTAGGAGGGACAGGGAAATGTTAGGAGGGACAGGGAAATGTTAGGAGGGACAGGGAAATGTTAGGAGGGACAGGGAAATGTTAGGAGGGACATTGAAATGTTAGAAGGGACAGGAAAATGTTAGGAGGAACAGGGAAATGTTATGAGGGACAGGGAAATGTTAGGAGGGACAGGGAAATGTTAGGAGGGACAGGGAAATGACAGGGACGATACATGTCGGGGAAAAGGAGTTTCTTTTGTGACTAACCCTCAGTGGCGTAGGAACGTGAGAGGAAAGGGGGGGGGGTCGAACACGGGTGGCACTTTTTTCTTCTTTTTATGGAAGGGGGGGGGGGGGTTGTGTGTCGACTACAGAGGGTCTCTGGGGGAAAGGTAACGGGGGGGATCTTCTTTTTATGGAAGGGGGGGGGGCGTTGTGTGTCGACTACAGAGGATCTCTGGTGGAAAGGTAACGGGGCGGCTGTTATTGTCCTGGCTTACTGAACTTACTCCGAGCGGAACGAACTCTCACCAAGCCACTGCAAACTCTGTCACATATTCAACAACAAAAGGGGGAGGGGGGTAGAGAGAGATACATGTATATCTTTTTTAAAAAAGTTTTGGGTAAAGGAGAAAGGGAAAATAAATGCTATAGAAAAAGAGGGAGGGGGAGATAAACAGGAAGAAAGGAAAGCCGTAAAATGAAAACAAGAGGTAAGGCAGAGTCACGGAGTTACAGAGTCACTTAAAGAGTCACAGAGTTCAGAGCTTATGTTATAGAAGTTAACTGTGAGCGTGATACGAAAGGCCCGCAGGCGTGATCCATTATATGATCCATCCATAAAACAAAAAGTGATATTGATTGGCTTACAGGGAAACGCGATCATGGTGCAATGTGGCGTGAGTCAGCCCCCTCTCAATGATAGTCACCGCTCCTAGGTCACGTGGTTCAGGGGACACACCAATAAAATAACACTAACAGCCACGTCAATAGATTGATGCGCTTAAGTCTTCTGAACCTTCCATGTGCATATAAATAGGCGAATCTAATTTTACATCAAACGCCCATTGATAAGTGCTGGGTGTGTAAAGGTGGGGACATTATATCAAGATAAATAAGGTAAGGGGCGTTCGCAAATTACGTCACGCAAAAAAAATGAATTTCCAGCCCCCACTCCCCCCCCCTTTGTTTCTCCACTCTTGTCACAAAGTGTCACAAATTCTTTACCCCCCTCCCCCTTTAGTGTCAGGTCTCCCCTTAAAAAAAATTCAAAACATACAAAAAATTTTCATAACTAAACTAAGATTTTATTTTATTCTTTGAAATTTTCCCATAAAGGTTTAAGATGTAAGCATTATTAGAAAACTGTGACATAAAACACAAAACAACTAAGTCATTCCCCCCCCCCCCCACCCACACCCCCCAGCCGAATTGAGTGCGCGACTGAGTTTCAAGGTACAGTGGAACCCCGCTGTAACGCGATAATCGGGGTCCACAAAATCGGATCGCGTTAAAAAGCGGGGTTGCGTCCCTTACGTATTACTATTTATAGTTCTACCGGAAGAAAGCCTCGTTTTCGGCATTAATTTTGATACTAGTTTGAACGTGGTGCGTTTATGGAGCTCATTTTCTAAAATATTTTGTGATTTTTTTTCGCTTAAAAAAAAAATGGCTTTCCAAGCAATGGATAAAATTTTCAAAAAACTTAGGCCTGATGGAGTAAATGAATTTCTAATTTCGGGAGCCATGCTACGACCGCGTTATATCCGAATTCGCTTTATGGTGGGGCGCGTTATAGCGGGGTTCCACTGTACTTACCTAAGGCAATTTTGACCTTAAATTAATCTTTTTAAAATTAATTGAATAAAGAAATTTCAAAATCTGAAAATTTTAGATTTTTAAAAAAAAAAAGAATTGTGACGTCACACATTGTTTCCCCCCTCCCCAATTTTTTCCACAAATTATTGACTGCCCCCTCCCCAAAGTGAGCGTGACGTAATTTGCGAACGACCCCTTACTGGTCAAGGGGAAATAAAGATCACTCTCACTTAATGACGGTCCTGGGGGGGGGGGCAGGAGGGTCCCCCAATAGTCATGTGACGGCTTTGATTAGGGCACACGTCTGGTTTGTCTAAGTTGCATTACCCATGAGATGAGACGGCGCGTTTGTATCTTGTATTAGCCGTTAGTGCAGTGGTTCCAAGAGTGTGAAGAGGTGCGCTCTGAGGGGCCGCCGCTTCCAAAGAAAGGTGCAGCTATTTGCCGCACAACTTAAGGCCGAACGCCACGGGCCCAAATGGCCACGGGCCCAAATGGCCATGGGCCCAAATGGCCATGGGCCCAAATGGCCACTGGATCTGAATGATTGGAAAATTTTAACTACTTTTATTTCCATTTTTAATTTTATCGCTTATCTTATGGGCATTTTCTTCCAATGTTTCGGTACTTTCTTGTTAGTTTAGAAAAAGTTGACGGTACTTTGCTGTTAATTTAGAAAAAGTTGACGGTACTTTGTTGCTAGTTTAGAAAGAGTTGTCAATACTTTGTTGTTAGTTTAGAAAGGGTTGTCAGTACTTTTTTGTTAGTTTAGAAAGAGTTGTCGGTACTTTGTTGTTGGTTTAGAAAGAGTTGTCGGTACTTTGTTGTTGGTTTAGAAAGAGTTGTCGGTACTTTGTTGTTAGTTTAGAAAGAGTTGTCGGTACTTTGTTGTTCGTTTAGAAAGAGTTGTCGGTACTCTTTTTTGTTAGTTTAGAAAGAGCTGACGGTTTCTCGTGATTTAGTATTGACTTAGTTTCTTGACATCACATGAAAAAAAAATGCCATGCTAAAAAAAATGTGTCGTGAAGTAAAGTAAACTAAGACTAAGATGTGTTTGTATCTAGTTTGATTCAATTATTTGTGGAAAATGTGCAGTGAGCAGCAGACGTATCTATCCAACGAACTACATTTTTTTTAAATTTTAACATTTTTGTGAAATAAAAAAAATCATTTGCTCTTTCTCAATTTACTTAGACAACTGACATAAGGTGGGTGTTGTGGGGGAAAACTTCAGATTCAGCAAAGGGCGCCGAAATAATCAAACTTTTGAGAATCACCGCATCAGTGGATTTTGCTCTTTTCCCCACTTCCTCCTTCATATGTTTTTTTTTGAAATTTGGATTTGTAAGAAAAATAAAATGTACGTCTATTGAAATGCATGCGGCCCTGACATCTCTAATGAATGCACCACTGAGCTCATTATGATAAAACTCACTTGCCTTGGGGTAAATATGGGAAATGTGACTGGGAATGTCAACACATGCTACCTCGGGGAAACAACATATGTCACTGAAGGAATCTCTTCCTTGTGTATGAAGCGGGGGGGGGGAGGAATATGTATCTATTATCCTGAAATGCAGTGTCGCAACCAGTGGCTCGGGAAGGGGGTGCGCAGGGGGGTGGGGCACTCCTGCCCCGGTGGGGTACTTCTTTATATAGAGGGAAGGCCTTTTCGGCCGACAGCAGAGTTTGTTTTTTCGTGGGGAGAGGAATATGTGTCTATTATCCTGAAATGCAGTGTCGCAACCAGTGGCTCGGGAAGGGGGTGCGCAGGGGGGTGGGGCACTCCTGCCCCGGTGGGGTACTTCTTTATATAGAGGGAAGGCCTTTTCGGCCAACAGCAGAGTTTGTTTATTCGTGGGGGAGGGGGGTGGAGAGGAGAGCAAAATTCTCTACCCAACCTGGGGGGTGATGTTAACCCTAGCTGCGCTACTGATCGCAACGCACAAATTAGCTGAAAGTGGAAGGACAAATCAAAGATAATACAAAGTATCAACTAGGGGGAGTTTACCCTACCCCCCCTCCCTTTCCATACACACACACCTGAAAATAAGCCCGACTGTGCAGCAAACTTATAATATGTTGCGAACCAAGGGATTTCCTCATTTTCTGACATATTAAAACTTTTGATAGGTTCATGAACACCATTTACATGAACATTTTCTTCGTCATTTTTTAAGTCTAAATTATGTCAGCACATGTATAACGGCCTTGTTTTGTTTTTGTTTTTTTTGCGTTTTTTCTGTTTTTTTTTTGTTGTTTTTTTTTGGGGGGGCGGGGCTGTTGGCTGTTTCCAGGTTTTGTTTTACTACACGTGTAAACCTTGTACAAATTAAAATATTTCCGCTGTTTAGAAGAATGAAAAAATAACTGGGAACATTTCAATGTTATTAATTGATTCATACTTTATTTCATTTGCACCTACATTTTTAATGGATGTGTTTTTAAAATAAAAGTTGTTTTTTATTCCATTTGGTAGAGAATATTCCAAAAATATGTTTTTAAAAACTTTATAAGTTTGATTTATTCCTATCAAGAAATGTATTTATTATATACCAAAGTTGAATTTAAATTTGACCGGAAATTAACTAAAAAATAAACAATGGCCGCCATTTCCATCAAATCGAAATACTTTGTGACTGAAGAGTGACTCACTCTTGGATGTGACTGTGTGCTCTCCATCAGTCGCAGGACGGGAATGCTACGTTGGGCGAGGCTAGAGACTGTGACAACTGGCAAAATTACAGACTCTTATTGGTCATGCGGAATTCCAGTTTAATTGGTCCAAACTGTAACGTTGTGTTTTAATGAACTCCACTTTTATTGGTCCAAACTGTAAGGTTGTGTTTTAATGAACTCCACTTTTATTGGTCCAAACTGTAAGGTTGTGTTTTAATAAACTCCACTTTCATCGGACCTAACAGGAAGATGGTGTTTTAATGAACTCCACTTTTATTGGTCCGAGATTGTGTTTTGAAATTTTAAAATGTTACCCGCTCCTTGAAATGTTGCACTACCAAATAGCAAAGTAGTCCACAAAAAGCAGTCCATACCATTGACCTCGATCTACATGTTGCAATGTCTACCAGGGTTTGCTCTATGTAGTACCGGTATAAAAAAAACTACAACAACAAAACCCCAAAAGAAACAAGTTGCAGCTACTTTGTTCATCGGGTTGAAATGTTTTATTCAGAGCTAGCAACGTCTTCCATGTACGAAGTCGCACGGCTGAAACCGCCAGGGGCGTCGGATTCAGTCCGGCTGGGGGTGCCGGCGGCGTTGGCCTCCCCCCCCCCACCCCCCTCCCCACTTCTCGTGTGTTTATCAGTGGCAGCCGTGGGGCGTGAACTTATCAATAGTCTCAAGGACTTGTTTGAATCCTCGGTTGTGTGTGTGTTTACTTCTGCTCGGTTGTGTGTGTGTTTACTTCTGCTCGGTTATGTGTGTGTTTACTTCTGCTCGGTTATGTGTGTGTTTACTTCTGCTCGGTTGTGTGTGTGTTTACTTCTGCTCGGTTGTGTGTGTGTGTTTACTTCTGCTCGATTGTGTGTGTGTTTACTTCTACTCAGTTGTGTGTGTGTTTACTTCTGCTCGGTTATGTGTGTTTACTTCTGCTCGGTTGTGTGAGTTTACTTCTGCTCGGTTGTGTGTGTGTTTACTTCTGCTCGGTTATGTGTGTTTACTTCTGCTCGGTTGTGTGTGTGTTTACTTCTGCTCGGTTATGTGTGTGTGTTTACTTCTGCTCGGTTGTGTGTGTGTTTACTTCTGCTCGGTTGTGTGTGTTTACTTCTGCTCGGTTGTGTGTGTGTTTACTTCTGCTCGGTTATGTGTGTGTGTTTACTTCTGCTCGGTTGTGTGTGTGTTTACTTCTGCTCGGTTGTGTGTGTGTTTACTTCTGCTCGGTTATGTGTGTGTTTACTTCTGCTCTGTTGTGTGTGTGTTTACTTCTGCTCGGTTGTGTGTGTGTTTACTTCTGCTCGGTTGTGTGTGTTTACTTCTGCTCGGTTGTGTGTGTTTACTTCTGCTCGGTTGTGTGTGTGTTTACTTTTGCTCGGTTATGTGTGTGTTTACTTTTTCTCGGTTATGTGTGTGTTTACTTCTGCTCGGTTGTGTGTGTTTACTTCTGCTCGGTTGTGTGTGTGTTTACTTCTGCTCGGTTATGTGTGTTTACTTTTGCTCGGTTATGCGTGTTTACTTCTGCTCGGTTGTGTGTCTTTACTTCTGCTCGGTTATGTGTGTTAACTTCTGCTCGGTTATGTGTGTTTACTTCTGCTCGGTTATGTGTGTTTACTTCTGCTCGGTTGTGTGTGTTTACTTTTGCTCAGTGGCGGCACCAGAAAAAAATAGTGTTTGGAAGGGGTTTTAAATTGTAGCCACCTCGGTGTCGGCGACTATTCAAAATCTAAAAATAATCCTTTGCGTAATGGGTTGTTTAAACTTTCTTTAAGGAGAGTGGATCAATATTTGCCTTCTGGGGGATCTTTACCCGCCTTGTTACTCTGAATTTCCCCTTAAACCATTTTAATTACATATATACTCAGTGGCGAAGAAGGGTGGGTGCCAAGCAGTGGCGTAGAATGGTGGGTGCCAGGCAGTGGCGTAGAATGGTGGGTGCCAAGCAGTGGCGTAGAATGGTGGGTGACGAGCAGTGGCGTGGAATGCTGGGTGACGAGCGGTGGCGTGGAATGCTGGGTACCGAGCGGTGGCGTGAAATGGTGGGTGCCGAGCAGTGGCGCAGAATGGTTGGGTGCCGAGCAGTGGCGCAGAATGGTTGGGTGCCGAGCAGTGGCGTAGAATGGTGGATGCCGAGCAGTGGCGTAGAATGGTGGGTGCCAAGCAGTGGCGTAAGTAGTTGGGTGCCGAGTGTACGGACTGCTGGTGACGTCATGATACCATTTTAACAGAAGTCGGGGTTCTGTTACGTTCGTTAAGGGAAGAAGGTCATGTTTGGATGCCACCGACCCCGAAAAGGGGGGGGGGGGCCTGCCGATGCTGTAAATTGAACACTTAGTTGAAATAAAGCAGATTTGGCTTCTCAGAGTGCTAATAAGATAAACCGGCTAGGAAAATTTTTAAGGGTTTGGGGGGGGGGGGGGGAGAGAAATCCCGGAGGGAATGGACAAAAAAAAGGAAGAATAATCGTTAATTTATGCAAGGTTTTTTTTTTAATGTAATGACATTAATGTCTTGAAAGCCTGGTGCCTACATTGATTGGTGGGGTTTTTTTTTATTATTAAAAAAAATAACTCTTAAATGGTTTTTAATGTGTTGGCCTTATCTATGGGCTACCAACTCGTCTGCTTTTTTTTTTTTTTTTTTTTAAATGTAGTTATGTAAACTTGGCAAGCGACACATGCGCAGTGATATACTAGAGCCTGGCAAGTCAACCGGTGAGTCACGATTTATCTGGCCAAGTTAATGGCGTCCTCAGAAACATCGATAAACTTTCATTAAGAGCGCTGCAATTTTTTTTTTTTTCCTTTTCCCAAATGTTGTAGCGTTATTTAAAATGGTTGTGCATCCGGTGTAACTGTTGACGAGGGAAATAAACGTGTATCTTTTGAGCTGAAAATATGATGAACATGTTCTAAAAATAGAACAAATTTTTAAAAAAAATTATTTTAAAAGACATGGATCAATTGCGTTGAATGTTTAAAATTTGGTGGGGTTTTTTTTGTTTTTAAAGAAGAGACGAAATAATCTGCTACATAATGCGAGCAGACGTCAGCTGACAGCAGATAAATCCACTTGTCAAACGGAGACCAGGAATGCTGTTGTGCTACAGGGAGACAATTACAGAAAACGTTAAGAAAAAAAATTACAGACGGCATTTTTTGTATGTGAATGCCATGACATATGCACCAATTTACGGTGGGGGGGGGGAGGGCGGGGGCGATTTGACACCTAGAAATGTGTAGACACAGGTCGGGGCGCCTTTATGGTGAAACATATGCACACCTTCAAATATATAATCAATCACAGGTAATCATGTACAGACAGAAACAAAAACGCAGTTATTGTCTCACCTTACAACCTTCTCAAACCGGCAGGCACGCCACTCCCCCCAAACATACAGGCAATCCTCTCCCCATAACATGCAGACACTCCAATCCCCACCCATACAGGCACTCCACTTCCCAACCGTGCAGGCACACCACGCTACCAACATACAGGCACTCAATTCCCCCAAAATGCAGACACTCCATTATCCTTCTCATTCTTTCTCGGCCACCCTCTTTCTAACTACCTATTTATTTCTCTCTCACTCCTTCCTCTTTCCTCTCGCAATATTTATGTAAGGCGAGATCCCACGATTAAAAATGGCGAACTGGCCATGTGCTTAACTTTGACTAATCCAACAATGCCGACATGACTGCCTTCATTATGTTATCGGAAAATCGACAAGGATGACATTATTGAGGGAACCCAACGCCTCCCATGAGCCCCCCCCACCCTATCTTAAGTTCGACACTAGCTGTCTCAAGTCTCAACCCCAAATTTTTTATTTTTTTTAAAGTCCATAATAAACTTTTTATCTTTTAATAGGTTTCAATAGTTATTGTTATTCAAATTGTTGTTGTTCAACTAAATTGCGTGCATGGCGTGCACTTTTTAAGTCGTTATGTAATTTATATAAACCGCCCGAGGACGCCATGTTACTTTGTACTTCTGTTGATCCATAATACATCATGTGAAGATCGGTTACAGTTATGGCCCAGTGCTGCCAGCAAAACAACCATCGCGTGAACACAGAAATTCGTTTACATCCAAAATGTTATGGTCCAACAATTCATCCATACCCGATCGATGGTACCGGCCAGCGGCGTGGCCAGGAAGAGGACGCCGGTAGACCTGCCGCCACAAAACCCACCAATTTTTAAATGCCCTTCGCGCTTTCTTGTGATGACGAAATCGTGTATATTTTGAAATAAAGTGTGCCAAAAGGTCAAGGTTTCAAACACACACATACACGCACCCACACACACAGACCCACGGCCCTGAAATGAAACGTTTTATTTTCTAAAAACCTGGCTGCGTCAACGGAGGTCGTCGATACTGCTAGCCAATAAAACCAATCACTGAATCAATGATCATCAAATAGAACCAGCCAAACTGGCCCAGCGCTTCTAAATAACAAAAAAGATTGAGAGCATTGATAAAGTTACTGGCAGGAATCTAATGCAGCATTCATTGAATGAACGCGGTGTGATAAATAACCAGCCAAGGTAACCAGCCATAATAACCAGCCAATATAACCAGGCCAAATCACCGAAGTTAAACTTAAGAGAAAAGATTGTTGATAACTTACATTGTGGGATATCCAACAGACGAGTAAACCCTGTGCTTAAAATTTGAAATTATAAACTGCACCTGCAGAGACCACTCCCGCTCTGTCGTTCAAGTTTGCTCCGTACAACACTGTCTCACCTAGACTGTCCTACGGAGACTGTCTCACCGAGACTCAACGCATTTCGTCACCCCACCCCGCACGGCCCACCCCGCACGGCCAAGCCCGCACGTCCACCTACACGCGGTGTCGGTTCGCTTCCCCCCCCCCCCACTGTTTTGGTCGTCTTTAAACGCACGGCCAAGCCCGCACGTCCACCTACACGCGGTGTCGGTTCGCTTCCCCCCCCCCCACTGTTTTGGTCGTCTTTAAGAAAAAACTGTAAGAGGGGTAAAGGGTTGGGGGTAAAGGGTTGGGGGTAAAGGGGTTGGGGGTTGGTGTAGGGTGGCAAGGTGGAGCCATAGGGGGAGAGGGAGTACGGGGTGGATGTTTCATAGAATAACGAAAGCGGGCGGGTGACAAGTGTGTTGGGGTACGAGGGTTTTTTTTTTTGGTGACTCATAGACATACAATTAAGTAAACAGAAAGGAAATTGACAAATTGCTGGTAAGTAGTAAACATCTGTATGGTGCGTGGCATTGGGGGCACTTGTCGGTGTGTGTGTGTGTGTATGTGTTTGAGTGTGTGTGTGCGGTTTTCGCCTTCAAGTACACATTTGGTTGCCAATTATAGATTTGAAATGTTCTCGTCCAAAACCGCAAGGCGGGGCATTGAAAGTTACGCGTTCATTTTAAACTTCTGGATTGGGGGGATTCTTGCCCCACGCGCAGTGATCCATTGCCTTTGTTAGCCGCCGGAAAGACAGTTGTAAGCGGATTAATATGTTGACAAATTGAGCTGGATAAATAATTATTTGGACGGGAATACTGTTTTATTAGACGTTAAAGAGCCATCTTAGGCGGAGTCAGGTTAGGGTTAGGAGATGTTCTCATATAGATATAGATATATTCTCTCTGTTTTAGTCTCTGGTACACTGGTCTTCTCCCATGCGTTGATTTCTATGTTGGCTTCCCTCGTGCTCCTTTTCACAAGCGTCCTTAAAGCCGCTGCCGTCCGACAAGTCTTGCCCTTTCTGCCAACGTCTTTGGAAGACGGCCATCTTACTTTCTCTCGCTCTCTCTCTCTCTCTCTCTCTCTCTCTCTCCATATATATATATATATATATATTTGAAAAGACGGAAAGATGCCATACATACATACAAGTGACAATTTTGGAATTTAACGATTAGAGCGAGAGATTAAAGGGAGGGGGGGGGTGTGTGTGAAAAATCTAAAATGTATGTTTGTCTTCGTACAGGATTTTTTTTTTACCTACTCCTTATTTGGTATTTTAATGGAGGTACACAACAGGTTTAAATTCCATCGGTTGCCTTTTTAAGACCGTTCTCTTAATTCTTGGTTATTCAAATGTTTCTTATTGGTCAGTGAACGTACTGTGAAAATTTGGTGAGGTTTGGATAATAAATTAAAAAAGTTATAAGGATATTGGCGACCAAAAATAGTGAAAACGAGAAAACTGAAATAACGAAGGAAAACGACAAAAACAATGAAGTTAGCAATGAAAAATAAGAAATGTCTATTCAGATTGGAATGAAAACTTTTTATCAGCCTATTGGGGACATTTTTTTTTTATCCTTTTCCATGTCCTTATGTCTTTTTTCCCTGACCACTCAACTTTTCGCTGCGATTGATTTAAGTTCTCCATCTCCGAATGAATAAATCAAGTCAAAAATGTTCCAGTGTGCATCCATTTCGACCACGACATAAAGAGGCCAAACTTTACTGTCACACGACGCCTTAAGGGTCGTTTTTTTTATCCATCTCCACCGTCTGTCAATTGACCGCTCACCCTTTTATTCTATTGGTATACTGAAATAAAGCAACACTAAGCCCACCTGTCCCTCGCTGTATCGTCTGACGTTCAGATAAGGGGAGGGGGGGGTGCTCTCCCCAGTAATAAACAAGAAATGCCTCCTGTACTTTTCGTGACTTGACTTCACGTGAACTGTGGAAGCGGTGAGGGTGGAGAGGGGGGTCATTAGCATATCGATTTACCCTTACACGCAAACAAACTATCGATTCACCCGACAGGTGTTATGGTTATCATATATAACCCGAGACACGACACACTGTCTCGGTGGGGGCCGAGGAACAAGAGACTGCTTCAGTGGGGGACGGACCCTCAATGAACTGATCCGTTGGGCCGACACACTGTACTGAGCCCCAGTTGGTCGACACACGGGTCAGATCGGGGCCGTGACACTATAATTTTTTTCCACAAGCCTTACTCCAGCATATGACACAACACAATGGTTCTTTTTATTTCTATACTGGTTTAAAAAAAAAAAATTGATGAATGTATTAGATTTTTAAAAACAACTCCACTAAAGCCAAAAGACTCCTCTGGAACCTGGTGGGGCTCTTCGGGAACCTGGTGGGGCTCTAAATCTCAAGCAGCTGGTGGGGCGCTAAATCATCCCACACCCATCAGCACACCAAGATGACTGACACGTCGTTTGACTATGAGCACATCAAGATGACTGCTACATTGCCTGACTGTGAACGACCCATGTCTGTAATCTGGTCGTATTAGTTAAATAAACATTATTTCACTGGTATATATTATGAGCCGATACATACACTTATCATGAAATCTGGTCACACATTACGTGAACTGAACATCGTCATTACCACAATACTAATTCTTCAGCTATGTGTGCAGAACACATTGGGGTAATTAATATAACTATGTAGAATATTCTGGGCTGTTGTTGTTGTTTTTTTCGTTGTTCCCTTGATTCTTCTACTGTTATTCAATCATTTCAATTTACCGAGTCTACAACACAGGTCTTGGTTAAGTGAATTAAGTGAGACTGACAGTGCACAAAGTCTGCATTTCGTGAGACTGGCAGGGCACAAAGTGTGCATTCCGTGTGACTGGCAGTGCACAAAGTGTGCATACCCGTGGACTGTGCAGTTACACGATTTGCGCGTAACACACTAATCTACTTTCACGTCATTATCAGAAGATGTTTGGTTGGCCGTTGGGGGCTACGCTTTAACAAATTAAAAGACCAGATTCAAAATGCGGAGCGTCTGAAAGTCTGCCGAAGACCAGATTCAAAATGCGGAGCGTCTGAAAGTCTGCCGAAGACCAGATTCAAAATGCAGAGCGTCTGAAAGTCTGCCGAAGACCAGATTCAAAATGCGGAGCGTCTGAAAGTCTGCCGAAGACCAGATGCAAAATGTTGAGTGTCTGAAAGTCTGCCGAAGACCAGATTCAAAATGTTGAGTGTCTGAAAGTCTGCCAAAGACCAGATGCAAAATGCGGAGCGTCTGAAAGTCTGCCGAAGACCAGATTCAAAATGTTGAGTGTCTGAAAGTCTGCCGAAGACCAGATGCAAAATGTTGAGTGTCTGAAAGTCTGCCGAAGACCAGATGGTTTTACAACTCACAGACTTTCAGACGGCTTCTGGTCTACGTTTTACTTGAGTGTCTGAAAGTCTGCCGAAGACCAGATGCAAAATGCGGAGCGTCTGAAAGTCTGCCGAAGACCAGATTCAAAATGTTGAGTGTCTGGAAGTCTGGCGAAGACCAGATGCAAAATGTTGAGTGTCTGAAAGTCTCCCGAAGACCAGATGCAAAATGTTGAGTGTCTGAAAGTCTGCCGAAGACCAGATGCAAAATGTTGAGTGTCTGAAAGTCTGCCGAAGACCAGATGCAAAATGCGGAGCGTCTGAAAGTCTGCCGAAGACCAGATTCAAAATGCGGAGTGTCTGAAAGTCTGCCGAAGACCAGATTCAAAATGCGGAGCGTCTGAAAGTCTGCCGAAGACCAGATGCAAAATGCGGAGTGTCTGAAAGTCTGCCGAAGACCAGATATAAAATGCGGGGTGTTTGAAAGTCTTTTGAATGACAATCTTTTAAAAATGAGAATTGAAAACTTAGTTCATTCATTCAAATATTGCTTCCATTGCACCGTCCAGTACAGTTGGGTGCAATCATAATATGCACTTGTAGTTTTTTTTTAAAGTAACGGGCCATTTTATTGAATTCTTAAGTCCGGTGTCGTACAATTGTATGAGCTAATCTTTTTTTTCCTTATTTCCTGTAGAAAGAAACTGAAAAAAAAAATAACTTAAAACGCATGGTGTACCACACAACTTGTTATTTCCTGACATCTAAAGATACACACGTTCTACCGGTAGTACAAAGTATAACCAGCCTGGCCATATATTTGTTACGCCATTCTTGTTCTCAAAAATGATGATGGCGTGATTACATTTTAAATGTTAAACCCTAATAAATTTTCAGATCAGTTTGACTAAGTGGTATATACAGAGGCGTACCTAAGGGGTGCGAAGGAGGGTACACAGTCCCCCCGTGCGGCACTTTTTTCTGGGGTTATATTTATATAACATTATATAAATGATGTCTGGTCATTTGTAGGCGCACTTTTGGGAGTTCGCCCCGGGTGGCATTTAGCCGAGACTTGACACCGATTGGATGACTTATGAGTTTGTTGAAATGAGTCATCATGGCGTGTGACTCGCACGGTTGCGTTTCTGAAAAACAACATTCAGGATCTAGCTATGTACATCATTATATTCTTTTGTAGCTGTTTGTTTGTTTGTTTTTCTTCTTTTAAAAATGCTTCAACTGATTGCAGGACCGTCATTTCTAATCAGTTTAGTTAAGAAATTCTGAACTCCCCCAACCTTTAACCTCCATCTTAACCCCCCCCCCCCACCCTTCCCCCCCCCCCCAAAAAAATAATTTTAAATATCC